CTTGTTTTCAGGTTAAAGAGGTGACCTGCGCTCATTAAACATTAGCTTCCTCGTATTGCCAGAAATAATTTATGCCGCTCAGTGAAGCCAGCACACTAGACAGACTCAACAGCGGCACGCATATCTGACCCTCACTAAACCCGCCATTTTGGAAAATGAGTGGCGCCACCTATAGTTAGTTGGAGTCGCGAATAGTCGGTTACAGGTTAAGAAGGTAGCGGCAAATGCCCCTCAAAGGGAATCATATATCCCTCCGCCACCTCCGTATTCAATAGCGTCCCATCGTTTCGGTGACGTCGCGGCCAACGCGCGAGAAGAGTCTTGCCTTTTGTACATATTTGCTTTATCTTTCGACTTTGACTTAGCATTGTGGAAGCCACGAGAGGGAGATTAGAGTCTGCCCCCCCCCCCCCCCCCCCCTTCCCCGATGGAAACAAATACGACTTTTGGGGATTAGCTTCCCCCTCCGATGGATACAAAGGCTGCTTTCAGAGGCTCGGTTCCCTCTCGAATGAATACAAAGGTCGCTTTTTTAAAAAAGTGGGATCGGAGACAGGTTGGAATTCATTGAAGCGGAAAAAGGAGCGTTTCCAATGGACGCTTCTTTCGACTGCGGAGAAATTTGAAACGGGCGCATCACGCTTGTGGGAGGAGCTTCTCCTACCTTCTTGACTTGTAACCGACTATAGGTAGGTTCACGAATATTTAAATCTCTTGCGCGACACCTGAAGGGGTGCGCGCCTTTTCAAGTGATGTGCACGCCAAATGACTCTGGGAGCCGCGCCGCAGTGCCACTGTTTTGTCGCACGTGTTACATTGCCACACCACAGCCAACGAGACTACGTCATTGCATTATGAACGCCCAAAAAGGATTTACGCAGTGAGATGCATGAACATAATAGGGCCTACCGTCCTAACTAACAAAATAAGAACGGCAGGACGCGGAATATTATGGTCATGGTTCTCGCTGCGTGATTCCTTCTCCAGCGTTCATAATGGATAACGCCGTAATTTTATTGACTTCGGAGTGATAATGGGCAAAATAGGGACACCTCATTGGCCTACACCGTTTCAGTTATCTTGAGCGCGTTTATTGACAGCACCTGTGACCAACCACCAGCCGCCACTATTCCCCTAGCGGAAGCAATTAGCTTAACTGATACCCCACAATCACAATTTCTGGGTAAGGGTGTATTCAAGTATTTCATTGCAGGGTGCTTGAGTTGAAATTAGCGACTCTCCGTAACTGAGAGGGTAACGGACGTGAAGTTGTCGTCACGGCGACGATCAGAACGCACTAATTTTTTTTTTTTAGTGCAGTCGCAGCCGCGATTACGACGGAGTGGACGGGAAAACCCGCGGACTTTGCTCCGTGAGAGTTCTGACCCTAACCCCGAACGCACACCCCATGTTCGCAGTTTCGCCTCATGTTTCAGGAAACTTTCTCTTGTTAATGTCACGTTTTTTGACTCAGTAAATGCCCTCAGCACCTTGAAACTCCCCATTTCCATAAATTTCTTACAATTATTCATTCATGTAATTTCAACTTCATTCAGAAGCAAGAAATACCTGCGCCGCAGTACGCGCCTCCTTCAAGGTCATCTCGTATAACTTTACTTCGCAGGATCGTCACGTGGGGTATATGCGGCGCTGGCGGCGCCGCTTTCGCCGTTCCACCCACTGATCTCTATGTCTATTTGTTGGATCGCGTTTGACCAGCTCCGCCTCTGGACGGGAACGCGGCCATGGTCGACCATCTTTTTGGTAGAGTTATATTATCTCTAGCCATCATACTAATATGACGGACAGCGCAATGGCGGTAGGCTGCCATAATATAGCAGTGGATCTAGTACACTGTACAGTGGGTGATATTTTGTGCTTGATTGAAGTTGTTCGACGAAGCAGATTCTTCAAACCCGGCGTGAAGGGTAGCCTCATCTTTGAGGACCCGGGGAAAGTTCTACGAAAGCGCAGCACAGGAGAAAAGCAGCGCAGCTCGAATCGAAAGCAGACTTCGTACCGGCGTCTGCTTTCGATGCTTCTTTCGATGCGACTTTCGATGCGTGCTGTGCTGCTTTTCCCCGGTGCTGCGATTTCGTAAAACTTTCACCGGGTCCTCAAAGATCGGACTACCGTTCACCCCGGGTTTCAAAAATATGTTTTGTCAAACAATTTCAATCAAGCACGAAATATCACCCCTGCTATTCTGATGGCAGCCTGCCACCACAACTGCCACAACGCTGTCTGCCATGGATGGATGATAGTGGCTGCAGCAGCTGTACCTTGGCTAGAGGCAATATAACTCTACCAAAAAGATGACGACCAGTAGCCGCATTCGCGGAGCGGGCAAACGCGATCCAGCAATTGTCATAGAGATCAGTGGTTCCACCCAGAGCTGTATATGTAGAGAGTTTGGTCAATGGGAGGCGCGGGCAGAGCCAGGGCGTGCGGCAGACTCAGAAAGAGGGCTTGGCATGCTCTCTTGACCAACCAGAAGGCGAAAAGAATCCCCTAGCGGTGGTAGCGAGAAACAGATCTGATCAAAGGTCTATGTTCGCATATGGTTTTAATAAGCGCGTAAGAGTAACTCCTCGTGGTTGAAAATAGGGTGCACGAGTTGTTTTGATCATGATCATGCAGAAAGATGTAAGAAACGAATGCGCCGCTCAACTCTGTTTTGCGCGGACAGAGTGTGACCGCTCGGATGGCAGATTCCCGGCTTTCGACGCTTGGCGTACGGATTATGTCGATCGTTCCGCTAGTTGCACTCTTCCAACATCATTTTGGATGAGCATGATTGAAACATCACGTGTACCATATCTGCAGCCATCGAGAGTTACTCTAATGCAGTTATCAGGTTTGTTTCTCGCGACCACCGCCAGGGTATTATTTCCGGCTTCTGGTTGGACACATTCGAATTTCTGAAGACGCCCTGGAACACGCCCAGCCCGCTTTCGGCCAATGGCGCCTCCTCATTTGTCTCCTATACTTCCTCCAACGAATGGACAAACTCTCTACATATACGGCTCTGGTTCTACCCCGCATCCTGTCGGCTCCTCCCATTGACCAAACTCTTTTTATATATAGGATCTGCGTGCGACAAGACAGTGGTGCCGCGGTACAGCTCCTAAAAGTCACTTAGCGTGCACATGAGTTGGATCGGCGCGCCCCCTTTAAGTGTCGCACGCTCCCTATAGTTTCTATAGACAATTGCAAGCATGGCGCCACAAGTGGTGCCCCATGCGTGCAAGCGCGTGCAACGCGCGGGTGAACCTAGCTTTGGCAAGCACATAATCGCACGGGCGTGCCTGCTCGAGCAGAGACATGGCGACGGCCAGTCGCCCAGCTTGCAATCGTGTATACAGAAAAGACGGAGACTTACGCCACTTCTAACATTTGTTTCGAGAAAAGATTGGAGGGAGAATGGGGCAATGTAACCGAGGGTTACATTGCGGACATTTCACGATAGGCCAAGTAGTCTAAACTGAAAGTTAAAGGTAAGAAAAAGATATATTGGTAGGACATTTTAGTATAATATGTGTTGTAAACCTATAATATTTAAGACCAGTGACTCCTCGTCAACCCTCCCCCCCCCCCCCCAAAAAAAAAAAGAAAAAAAAAAGAAAACGTAATTTATTCAGTGTCGCCAACAATAAACTGTCTTCATGTATACACAAAGTGTGGATGAGGATGAACACAACTGGTTATTTATTTATTTTATTAAAGTATATTTGCAATAAACAAACAAGAATCAATGCATCAACTCTATGTACAAGGTGTCACATTTCACACAACGTCAAGTATAAATATCATTCAAAAATAACACACTAATCACCACGCATTCACTTCTTTCATCAAGGACAGATGCCAGCTTCAACTTCAGAACAAAACCAGATTATCACAACAAAGCTGCAAATGGGCAACCAGCGACAGCAAGTCGTTTCGTTTGGTCCCTGCTCAAATTCCGTTTCCGAGACGAACCTCTTTTCCTGTCGTTCGGTGAAAGCGGCCCGTAGATCACAGCGATTGACCGGCCTCAAGCCCCTGGGGAAAGCAGACGGGCACGTATTTCGTTTCGGTACATTAATGAGACAGATGGGAAACGCCAGAAAGACAGGGCGGAGGGGTATAGGGGTTCGCATACCCGACCGGGTATTGGGGAAACCTGGGGTCCAAATCCCGGCTTCGTCAACGATTTTGTTTATCGGCGTCTTCGTTGGCTTTGATTCATTGGATCACCGTTCGGTCCATTCATCTGCATATTTTCGTATTTTCGATCATTTCCTCTTTGGAGACAACGTACGATGATGAAAGCTGCCCGGGATATATACAATGCGCCGCATAATAAGTAGAAATCAGCCTTTGTCTGAACTGGCAAAGGAAGACCAGTGATTGGTGTTCCGCGCACATTGCCGCGCAATATACACTCTACAATCGCTGACACTTTAAGAAACGCAAGGCGTGGATCATCATGTTCGTGCTTTGCCGTTTGGTTTTCGGGATTCCAATTGGCTAATGCCGGAATTGCATCGGCTGCGTAGCGACAATAAGATGCTCAGGACTAACCACACCCTGCGCTTCTTAAGCTGACAGGGACTAGAAAGACAGCTTAAAAAAAAATACACACAGGGCTTATTGCGCGTATTAAATTCACAGTCCGTTCTTCGTCGTTAGTTCTTCCGCATTTCTATGTGTTCTGCGAGTGTTGATCACAATGACTAGGGCGCCTCCATTCTAGCGCAGCGTCCAGGGAAAGGACATCCGTCATATTGGGTCAATTTTCCGGTTTCTCTCGTTGGCGACATCTTGGATAGATGTTCCGAAAGTTACTTTTAAAAATCGCTTTTTCCGCGCGCGAGCTACATCCGCACACTGCCATACAGGAGGACCCACTGTGACCCCCGCCGCGTCAGATTGATGCACCCTAGGAGTGGCCTGCCCACCCCGCTCTCTGCCGGAATCATCGGTCGGGAGACGATCACGCACGCGGAGGAGGTCCGTCACTCCCTCTTGGAGAGTCGGAACTTGAGGAGGACGAAGGCCAGTAACCTAAAGGCCACCTCGAAGGCTACCAGCGAGAGGCTGAGGGCGTAGAACTTCTTTTCCGAAGTCCCGGTGAACTCGAGGAAGTCTGAGGGGTTCTCGTACAGGCAGACGAAGTCGTCGCACTCGAGCGGCTCGCGGTCGTAGCCGTACACTGAGAGCAGCATGCCGTGGTAGGCGTAGTGGATCGGCGAGAACTTGGTGATCCAGCTGACCCAGGGGCTGAGCAGGTGCTCCTGGACGAAGAAGCCGCTGAAGAAGAAGGACGGCGACACCACGGGCATCGCCACGAACACCGCCGTCTGCGAGCAAATGAAGAAGGCGCGGGGAATTGGAGGCGCCGCTCGAGATTCGAGAGTACCTTTGACATTTCAGGACCGAGCACACCGGTGTAAGTAGCGTGCACGGGTGCTCTCAAAGTGCCACCCCCGCGGCGTGACACAAGAGATTTGATTTCGTGTATAGGATCGGGGGTGGATTTCAGAGGAACCTTAGTACCCTTAAGACTCCCCTCCCCAGGCCCTGTTAGCTATATACACCACACCATTAGTTGTACAAGTTTACGAGTAGAGCTCTCATCGACTTGGGCAGGTTAAAGTCAACAGCTGCTCCTTGTGCTTTTAATGAGCTTTGAAAATGAAAAAAAAACGAAAAACGGAGCATGCCAACTTTTAGAAAGAGAGAATATTTAACCTAGCCTTATTGTACTAAGATATTGAGGTGGGCTAGTTGGATATGCATGATGTAAAAATTAAATAGCGCAAAGGTTGGACAAAGGACAGAACATGTAGACAGGACAAGCGCTAACTCACAACTGGAGTTTTAATAGAAAAGAAGAGAAGGAAGCAGCATAGAAATACGCCAAAAAGGGAAGAAAGAAGATTTATAATAAAAGGAAAAAGTGAAAGGTAACCTTTGCGCCATTTAATTTTTACATCATGCATATCCAACTAGCCCACCTCAATATCTTAGTACAATTTCTGTCTTCTACTATGGGCCCTTTCCCGTGTGTCGCTTCTCATGACCCTGTTTCTTATTATGTCTTCTTAATCGCCGAATCAACCTGCCGGGCAAGATTTTGAGGTTGATTCAGCGGGAATTTCTAGTCTTCTCAACTTCTTCTTTCTTTAAACTAGTCTTTTTCTTAATTTCAATATATTCCCAGGAATTAATTTAGTTACGCAGCTCCCCTTTCTTTCATTTTCTTCTCTTTTCTTTTATTCATTCTTGTATATACCTTTCACTTTTTCCTTTTATTATAAATCTTCTTTTTGTTTCGGCGTATTTCTATGCTGCTTCCTTCTCTTCTTTTCTAATAAAACGCCAGTTGTGAGTTAGCGCTTGTCCTGTCTACATTTGGGGGGATCGGTGGCCGGATTCCAATTTCGAACGTCGTCGAAAGCGCACGCGGAATCATGAGCTCCGTTGGAGCTGAGCAAGCGTCCCTGCTTGGACGCGGTGATATGGCTTTGGATCTTCCTGCTGACTATCGGTTTATTCTGCCGACGCTACCGGCGAATGACTTATCGAAATGCACGGCATTTCTGCACGCTGACATCGGAGTGCGGCCGTACCGCATTGAAGATTTCAGGGAACCTTTGCGGCAACTTGGCGTCCTGAGCGACGTGACCGGTATGGGGGTGTTCCAGATGGGGCACGTTTGGATTGTCCGCCTCAAGTCGACTGCCGCCAAGGAGAAACTGATGATGTCTGGCAAGTTCAAGGTGAAAGGAGGTTGGTGTGTGCCGATGGACCCTGATCGACAAGAGGTCCGACTCAAGCTTCACTGGGTGCCTTTCGACGTGCCCAACGAATCCCTGAAAAGGGCACTGGAGGAGTTTGGCGTGGTGAGAGAGATAATCCGAAAAAAATGGCACATCGACAGGTTTGACGGCGTCGAGTCGTCGACCCGGGTGGCGCGGCTGTCACTGAAGGAAGGCATGACGCTGGAACGCTTGCCTCACCAGCTTCGGTTCACCGGCAGCCCTGTACTTGTGGTTGTTCCAGGACGTGCACCAATGTGCCTGCGGTGCAAACGGTCTGGACACATTCGCCGTGATTGTAGGGCGCCTCGCTGTAGTGAGTGCCGTGGATATGGTCACGAACGCCAAGACTGCGTTCGATCCTACGCTCGTGTCGCAGGAGGACGCCAGGCCGAGGAAGACACGAACGAGCTTGTGATGGACGAACAAGAGGCGGAACAGGCGGCGGCGCCCTCAACGCAAGCGTCTGTAGCGTCGGCGACTTCAAAGGCAACAGTAACCGCTAGCAAGGAGTGTGAAGGGAAACCTGACGGAGAAAAGGAGCCTTTTGTGGTCACAGCGCCAACCGAGATGCCAACCACGAAGCTCCAAGACACCACGGGGGATTTCGAGCACTCAGCCGGTTCGGATGCAGCTACAGTAGAGGAAGCAGCGGAGAATACGGCTACGTGTAAGGAAAAGGAAGTGGCACCGGAGAACAGCCCCAGCGAGGAAATGTCCCTGGACGCGATCACTTCGAAGCGGCGACTGGAGGACTTGGGTGCACGCAGTGCTGCTGCCAGCGAGCAGGCACTGCGACGCCTGGAATATCAGTGGAAGCTCGCCGGGAAAAAAGGACGCTATACGACACGCAGCCGCTCGCCGTCGAGGGCTCGTGAAGACCGGCTGTCACAGTAAGCTGGTTCCCCGCTACCCCCTGATTGGCAAGTGTCTGATAGCTGGCGCAAGGTCATAAGCTCCTAAGTTTTTAAAGCTATGAAGCAGCTCGAGGTCGCACTGCGTATAGCTACCCTGAACGTAAGAGGACTGTCTGCAAGGCGAAGGCAGTGCCAGCTCAGAAGGTTGTTCTTGGAAAACGACCTCGACGTGATAGCGGTCCAGGAAACCAAGATTGAGAGCGAGGAGCAGACCGAGCAGATGGTGCGCCAATTTGAGTCGCGATACGATGTATGCGTAAGCCATGCGGTAGGGAGGTCGGGAGGTGTATGCATCTTTTTAAAAAATGCTTTAGGTATTATTGTTGAGAATGTTGCTTCGCGTGAAGATGGGAGAGTCGTGTATTGTAATATTTGCTTTTCAGATCAAAAGTTTCGTATAATCTGTATCTACGCATCGACTGTAGAGACGGAACGATGCCATTTTTTTTTAAAGTATAGCGGAATATTTAAAGTGCGAACGACTGCTTGTGGTGGTGGGGGATTTTAACAGTACATGTGCTCCAGAAGACAGGACCCCTCATAGTCGCCGGAGGGATATCAGTGCCGATGTCTGGAATGAACTGGTAAATGAGCATTACTTGGAGGACGTGGCACATTGCGGAAAGGGCACGAAGGGCGTGCAGTTCACACATTTCCAAGGAAGTAGCCACGCACGGCTAGACAGAGCATACGTGTCAGTTGAGCTAGTTCCGCTGTGTGGACACTATAGTGTCGAGCAGGTGTGCTTTAGCGACCACTGCCTCGTGACTTTCGGGTTAGGATCAAAAAGAAAAGAACGACACCGATTTGATTGGCACAACTGGAAAATGAATTACAAGCTCCTTGACGACGAGGTGTTTAGCGACAAGATAAATACAAGGATTGAAAATTTTAGGAACATCTGCGGGAGCGAGATGACCGGAGAATGGGAAGAATTTAAACGAGTAGTTAAAATGGACGCCATAGAAAGATCAACCATTCTAAAGTACGAGAAAGAGAAAGAGGAAAAGCAGCTGCGCTCAACTTTAAAGGAGCTTGTTCTAGAAGAGTGTAAATCCCCCGGGTTATTTATAGATGACATTAATAAAATAAAAAGCAAGCTACAGCTCATAGATACTGAGCACTACAGAGGTGCGATAATACGTGCCCGGGCAGAAAAGTTTCTCGCGGGTGAAGCACCAACAAAACGAGCGTTAGCCACAGAAAAGAGATACGCACGCGCCAATGAAATAACTGAAATTGATTATCAGGGTACCACGACGCGTGACTCTAGCATAATTGAGGGAGCCTTTCTTGAATTCTACGAAAACTTACTGAGCCACAAAGCCCCAAAAGAAGAAGGTTTCACAGAAAATTGTTTGCCCCTTCTGCCAAAGATAGGTAGTGAAATAAAAGAATGGTTAGAACAGCCGATAGGTCTGTCCGAAGTAGAAAAAGCCATTGATGATTTGCAAAGCGGAAAATCACCGGGCCCTGATGGTTTGGGTGCTGCCTTTTATAAAAAGTATAAAAAAGATTTAGCTTGCATTTTGTTACAAGTGTACCGCGAATGTTATGAAAACCAAGTTTTTCCCCCTTCCTTTTTATTTACCCACACAGTCCTTATCCCCAAAAGTGAAGACACTAATAAACTTCGTAATGTAGCCAATTACCGGCCCATTACACTAGCTAATACGGACTATAAGATTCTAATGAAAATCCTTGCGAGACGAATGCAATCGGTTATTGGAGATGTGGTGGGAGAACATCAAACGTGCGGTATCAAGGGACGTACGATTATGAGTAACATTCATGTTGCGCGTAGTGTGTTGGAACTATGTGATGCTAATTTCCGGAAAGTTGCTCTGTTGCAAGTCGATCTTGAAAAAGCTTTTGATCGAGTGTCCCATGATGTTCTTTTTTGCATTCTAAACCATGTTGGCGTGGGTAAAATTATTTTTGATGGAGTAAAGATGGCCTATAGTAACTGCACGACTAGTCTTGTAATTAACAAACAAGTAACTAAACGCATTTCTGTGTTATCCTCTGTTCGGCAAGGGTGCCCACTTTCGCCGTTGTTGTTCGCCATATTTCTTGAGCCCTACTGCCTAAGTGTCATAAAGAGTGGGAACATACGTGGTTTTTCTTTAAATGCATGTGATGTTAAAATATTAGCGTACGCAGATGATGTTGCGATTTTTTGTAGTGATAGAGAAAGCGTCTCAGCGGCTGTTCAACTCACGAGATCATATTGCGCCCAGACAGCGTGTGCTGTGAACTGGGCGAAATGCTTGGGGATCTGGCACGGCCACTGGGACGTGACTCCGCGTGTGTTTGAATCTATTCAGTGGTCTACAGAGCCCGGCGTATACTTGGGAGTGCCTTTGAACAATTACCGTGAAAGCAACGAGCTCTGGCGTAACAAAACAGAGGAGATGAGTCTTAAAGCCGCGAAGTGGGGTGGCAAGGAATTTTCTATCTTCGCACGGGCAACAGTGTGTAATTTATTTTTTGTTGCAAAGATTTGGTACCTGTTACAGGTTCTGCACTGCTCTCGTGTGCATTTGCAACGCATGCACCGGGTGATGGCCGTGTACATATGGAAGTCTACCTGGGAAAGGACTAGACGAGATAACCTTTTTCGCCGCGTGAAGTCGGGTGGGCTTAGTTTGTCGCATTTGTTCATACGACAGCTGGTATCGAGGTTTTTCTTTTTGCGAGACCAGGCTGACCCGTTTCTGAGAACTGTCATTCAAGTACGGTTGTTCAGAGAGTTACCCGAGTTCATTGTTTCGACGTGTGACACATGTGAAGGCCAAGTAACGGGCTTTCTTAAAGAGGTTGTTTGTGCGTACCAATTTCTTAGTGTGCGATTTTCAAGAGAGTACTTAAACTTTGTCACACGAAAGCGTCTGAAGCGAGATCTTGTTGAATGCCTGTTTCCCGTCCCATTGTATCGCTCTTTGTTCTCCGACAGTACTGACCGTGATGTGCTTTCCCGCGTGAAAAGAATGCTAGTTCCCGGATCTGTGAAAACCTTTTATTTTAAACTACATACCAACACGCTTCCAGTAAAGACATGGTTAGCAAAAAAGGGCATGTTTGTACCATGGAGCGAGGATTGTATTTTGTGCAAGAAACCGGAGACCGTGGAGCACGTGTTCCTGGACTGCTGGGATGCTATCCTGTTCTGGGACGTGCTCCAACGCACTCTTAAAAAAGACCTACCGCTCACGGCTCGGGGAATACGCTTTTTGTCTGTGGAAGGGACGCCTTTCCCATATGATCTCGTATTTTTACTGGGCCTGCATGCTATTTGGAGATGTAGGATGGCAGTTCGTCACGCGGACCTGGATGCCCGTCCAGTACGGTATTATTTCATTGAAAATATAAACTTGATAGCAGCTCTACGAGAAAGTATGTCTGGAACTGGAGTGGTTGCCTGCATTTTTGAAGCTGTCGATGATGAGAGAATTTTAACAATTCTCACCGCTTCTCCAAACCTTACAGGCGACGTTCTATCGTCGCCTTCACTAGCGTCGTCAATATAATATTGCACATGTTCAAGTGAAATTTATCGTGCATTGTGAATCTTTGTTCACTGTCAAAATCTTGCAATAAAGAAAAAAAAAAAAAAAAGGATCGGTGGCCGAGTGGGCTAAAGCGCACACCCAGCTCGACGCGCGTGGAGCGAAAGCTCGCGCTGCAGAACCCAGGGATCCTGGGTTCGAGCCCCACCCCTGCCCGTTTCGATCTGGATGAGCATCGTACCGGCGTGTGGTCATGTATCACTACACTGTGGTGCACGTTAAAGACCCCAGGCTAGCGGTTGTACCGCACTGGCTAAATTACTCATCTACAGTGGGTAACAATGTCGCCATGTTCTGGCAGACTAAACTCCTGCTGTATAAACAACTAACGACTAATTTGTTATTGTTTCTACATGTTCTGTCCTTTGTCTAACCTTTGCGCTATTTAACTTTTACATCAAAACTAGCCTTATTGGCTTTCGGGTATCGGTGTTTTCACCCTTAACCGGTTTGGTTTTCAAACTCTGCAGAACGGGCTGTAGGAAAGGGAGGGGGGGGGGGGGGGGGGGGGTGAGTTCAGTCATCGTATATCACAAAAAAATTGTTCGTCAACCCTCAAAATTGCCATGACTGTAACCGTTAAAGAACAGTGGTTCATTCCTCTAAACAAGCACTTTTTTGTCCCTTCTGTGTCTTCATTCCATGGCCTCTCCCGTTGATACACACGTCAGGTAAATCGCCAAGGACCTACTGACCGTGATTCTACAAAAGCATCTGCTGGTGGTTGTATCACTACCGGTTATGCTGCACGTCTTCTCAAGTTCATTGCAGTAATCATTGCCGTCCCACTGTTCGGAAACGGTGTTGCGCTCATGACCAAATTTGAGCAAATCATTTTTTGTGCTCGCGAATCTTTTCCTTAAAGTATTTCTTTTCCTCCGATGTTCTCCGATGTTTCTTCAGTTTTCACCCAACCACGACTGACGCCTGGGGGGAAACATTTTACGCTGTTTCCTCCAAGTGGGGAACCATAGTAAACGTTTCTGTCAAAAATGTTGTCATTTGACCTTTACTAGGACTGCCTGATCTTAGAATAATGTAGGCATTCCTATGAATTAGTTTGGGAACGCTCACCTGAAGCTTGGTGACGGCTGACACGATGAGCCCCATCGACTGCGTCACCGAACACAGCTGAATGCAGAAGAGCATGACACCGGCCACCCGCCACAGAACAAGCGGCTGGGCCGTCGGGTAATACGAGATGCCGATCAGCAGCGCAATGGGGATCGTCTGAAAAGTACCAAAACACATGACGAATCTAAAAATGAAATAAGAAGTTTTTAGGATTTGTTTTTTGCTGCCTTGGTGCCTATTTACCACGCCGTCAGAAGCTTCTGCATGCATACTGTCCGTCGATGCACTCAGAACACCAATCATTCGTCTTAGTTTAGTTATTTTAGCCAATGAGAAGAGCAGTGGTTCTGCCATCTAAGTGGGAAGAAGGCGCCTATATCTTCTGTCACTGAGAGCGCATTACCATTGAAACATGAGGTCGATCGCCCTGGCCGTTAGCTGAAGGCTAGGTGCCCCTCCTATCACATCGCAGGGCGGTATACAGTCGCGTATTTGAAAGAGTGTACCAGAACATTTGGATCCCTACGTTCGATGCAGTGATTCGAAGGGCGGGTTCGAGCGGCAAGTTTACGGCTCAATATTTTTCCAGTAAACTAATAGAATCATTTCTTAGCACTTATGTGAGTTTTGTGAAAGCCGGTTTGCCTTAAAAGAGAACAAAATATAAAAACTCGTATTTACTCAAGTTTTTTTTTTTTTTCTTATTTTTGGTATAAATAAGCCGTTTCCTAGACCACGCTTCCCTTTCCGCTAAGCCCTCCGCAACGATGAAGCCTCTAAAGCGCCTTCGCGCCGATGGCCTTCATTGTAGAGTTCCGGGTGTCGTAGCAGGTTGCGGATAGGGAGCCTTCATGTGCGCTTTGCTAGGGTGGTGCCCCCCTTTGTAATACCACTCGCCGACAAACCAACAGCCATTTTGTTCTCCCGGAAACAAGCACCTTATCTCACAAGTTCGGAGCAGCGTTGTGGAACCCACGAAGGGAGGATTAGCATTTCCCCCCTCGGATGGGGGGACCGATGGACACAAAGGCCACTTTCCGGTGCACGGGAAAGGCACGGGGAAACAATGAGGAACAAAATGGCGGCGGGGGAAAGGGAAACAGGCAGTTGGCATCACTCTATGCGAAGCACACATGAAGGCACCCTAGTTGCGGAGAGCACTCGTTGTGGGACGGCAAAAACCATCTACAAAAACGCCTTAAGGTGCGGTCTTCTCCATACCGCCTACGTCACTTTTGTTTCTGTTTTACAAGGACGTCTTGACCAAAGTTAATGGACAGGACTGATAATACACCCTGTTTAATTCGAACAGCATTTTATGGGAAACTTTTGTTTTTTGATTGTTTCCCGCGTAAAAGACGTTCCGCCGTCTTGAAAGGTGGAACTTCCGGTATGCGGCAAAACATCGTTTTCGTCTTCACACGCCGCTGGAAGATCACATTTTAATCTCAATTGTCACTGATTTTTCTTTTGCTTGTTTTATATTTTTTACTCGCTCCAGCTTATAATATTTTTGCTTTTTTTCGCATACCGGATTTGTGATCTATATGCCAATAGGCGAGGATAGTTAAAATCATGTATTAAAGCCTCGAAATGGAATATTTTAACGGTTCCCAATACAGATAACTTTATGTTCGGTCATTTTCTCGGTAGATTGATTCGAGGGGGAAACTGGGTGCATAAGTCAATTGGCGTCAATTCTCCTGCTAGATCTATCGGGGAAGTTGTATTGATGTGTCACGTGTCGTTAGCTCACGTGACGTCAATTTCTTCACTAAATTTAACGGGGAAACTGATTTTTACGGCAAATTTCGCATGCGAATTTAGCTGGTATAGCGGTCGCGTGATGTCAAGTCACGTTACGTACTGTTTCTCACTAAATTTAGCGGGCAAAATTCATTAATGTGTAAGTCACACGACGTCAGGTCACGTGACATTCATTTCCCGCTAATTTAAGCGGGGTAAGTTTATTGGTGTATGGGTCACGTGACAGCAGGTCACATGTCTCTCGTTAAATTAAGTGGAAAAATTGAATTGGCTTGCATAGGTCACGTGGTGTCAAGTCACGTGATATCAATTTCGTTGCCAACTTTGGCGGAGAAACTTAATTGGAGTATATGCATCACGTTACGTCAGGTGCAGTGACATCAATCGACGCCATGTAACCTAAACGCCAATTTAGTTTCCCCACTAAATTTAGCGGGAAATGCACGGACGGATGAACGGACAAAACTTTACGATTAGTGCGTTTCGAAAAAAAAAAAAAACAGTGGCCATGTTGTTTTCAAGAACGCACACCCCAGAACATACAACTCACCAGGAACGGTATCTCCGTGATGTAGTTCGCCAGGTAGTACACTTTGATGCTGTACCAGCAATTCCGATTTTCTCTCATCAGAACGGAGATTTCAATGGGAACTGCGGAAACAAAAAATGTGACGTTTTATAGTCGCTGACAGTTTAAAAAAACGCAGCACTTGGCGAGTGTCGAACATCTCAGTATCGCTCCTCAGCCAGTAAGATTGTGCTGCTAGCCGATAGGAACACCGAAAAGCCAATCACGATGCAAGAACCGGAGGTTCCTACGTGCACAATATCCCGCGATGCGCTAATCAGTGCTTTTATTTTTTAGTTAGATTAGCCAATGAGAATGACTACTGGTATTATCTGGTATTATAATCCAGCGGTGATGCGGTCACCAAAACAAGAGTGGGAGCTTTTTTTTTTTTATCACTCACCAGATATTGATTATTGAAGCGCGGTACCGTATCTCTCTCCTTATTGGCTAAACTAACTAAAGGAAGAAAATTTGTTGTGTTTTTATACAGTGCATCGCGCGGCAGTATTTGTACACGCTACAAAATTTGGAGCCTCTATAGTTTCCCGCAAAGCACAGCTAAAGTTGAAAATTTTTGTTCAGAAAAATAGTCTTAGCGTCGACACTGAGCATGACGTTTCACAATATTAAATACCCCAACGCATATTGCTAAGGCAAGGGTGCAGGCGAGCTGGTTGAATACACTCTAAAAAACGCCCGTGCGTCTGCTTTCCCGCACAACACTGGGAGAGCCAATCACCACAAATTACGGAGGCAGCTGAGCGAATGACGATGCCGAAACATATGTTTAGACCAAAAAACGCAGTCTGAGTTGTGACATTAAGCAATGCAAGCGTGACGTTTTGCATTGCTTAATGTCACAACTCAGACTGCGTTTTTTGGTCTAAACATATGTTTCGGCATCATCATTCGCCGAGCTGCCTCTGTAAGTTGCGGTGATTGGCTCCCCGAGTGTTGTGCGGGAAAGCAAACGCACGGGCTTTTTTTAGAGTGTATCTAGTCCGTTGCAACCTAAGAACGAAAGGCGAGGGTAAGACGGGCCGGGGAGGAGGAAGGTGACGGAACGCTGGAGAAGAGGGGGAAGCCTCCTTCTCTCTTTAGCGTTCCGCCTGCTTCCTCCTCCCCGGCCCGTCTTACCCTCGCCCTTCGTTTTAGGTTGGAGAGAAGGACAAGGAGGACAAACACGACACAGATCAGCTGTGTTTTTTTTTTCTGGAGGAGGGGGGGGGGGAGGTTGTTTAGCATGGCCGTTTGCCGAGCTCCCTCCGAAGAAAGAGCAAATGACCACGTTGATCTTATCAGCATGGTCATTTGCCTACAGCGATTGGCATTCCCAAGTTTTTTCGGTAAAATAGACGCTGCAGGTTTCTTAAGGTGACAGAATAGAGAGTTTTAGAATAGCGTAAAGACCCTTGCGTCAGCACTGCGTACAACGCACGCTAGCTGTTGAGCTAGGTGCGTTGAGCGCGCACTTTTAGTATAGCGGAAGGCAAACGCATACGTAACGATACGTAAAGACTTGCAGCGCCATCTTGGTGTGCCCCTGCGAACTGCTTCAAACAATCCAAGGCGGTTATTCGGTCAAGCCAATTTAACACCGCAAATCTCCTCGCTTTGCTACGAAGTGCGTGAATCTCTTTCCAGTTGCCTGTTGTAAACCTGTTTTGTCTTTTCTTTTAGGGCTGTGCGACCAGCAGTTCGGTGTATGGTTCGCTCCAATGTGTTGTGGGATCACTACTATCTTATGCTGGCCTCGTCATTTGCTCGGAAGTATGCAAGCAATACGTCGCACCGCTTGCGTACCGACCGCAGAAAAAAAAACATCTTTTTGGGTTCGACGGCGTCGCCAACGTTCTTGGCTACCGACACCCACATTTATGCGCTCTCGAAAGGGTTCGTCGCGTTAATTTTTTTTAGGAGGTTATGGGTCGCTTGTCAAAACCGCTTGATCAGGCCGAGTTCCACTCGCTCAGAGGAAGTCACACGGGGAAGCGCTACCATTGGGAAAAGGTTTTATCTGTACTTGAGTTCAGAATCCGATGAGGAGGAGGGCCAAGGCTGTCTAGTGGTCCGGGTGTTCAGTTGGAGGCCTTGCTCGGCACCGGCTCTTACGTCTGTCTCCAGCTCAGAACTTCGCGTGTTATCATCCGCCACGAGCCTCGCCCTTTTTCTCTTCTTCTTCCTCTTTCTTCTACAAGGTTGAGGTCATCTTCAATGGTGAAGGGAACCCGTACAACGCGCGTAGCACTTCCACTGGTTTGACTCACCGCCGCCATTTTCCAAACTGGAGTAGTCTCGCGCTTTCCCGTGCGCGACGAGAGCAACGAGAATGGGACCGCTACGTACGCTCGCCAACCGCAGTACGTACGTATGGCTCATGCGCAGTATAGAGGACGCAGCGTTAACACTAACGTAGGGGGCTTACGTTTGCTGCTATACGTATTACTAAAACTCTCTAATATTAAGTTGGGCTAGTTGGTTGTTCATGACTGGAAAGAAGCGCCGAAATACGGGGTCAAAAGAAGTAGGTCAGAGCAACGTGTCGTCATTACCTACTTCTCTAGCGCCACGTGTCGTCGTTACCTACTTCTTCGCGCTTCGTGTCGTCGTTACCTACTTCTTTTGCCCCCGTCTTTCGGCGCTTCCTTCCAATTCTTAAGGGTGCTGAACCGAAATCTGGTTTCCCCAAAACAGGCGGCAAAAGCGTGCAACGGGATGCTATAAACACTAAAACATCACTCATACAGCAATATCTCGAACGGATTACCATATTTTTCAAAAAAAGAGGCGCATTTGGCAGGATTGTTGACGTCATGTTTCTCCGAGAAGGAGAGGGAACGGCCTCGCGTCTTCTCCGCCTCGCGGCCTTGAGGGAGCGAAGCGAAAAGAGGAGGAAACTAGGTATCTTGACAGTCACGCGCCTCGTCGGCCTGGTTCAATCTCGACTTTTTTTTCTCTAAAAAATACGGCCGTCCATTTGAGATATCGCCTTACTAGTAGTGTTGTAGGGATTGTTGCGTCCCGCCTACATCTCTAGCATTGTCTTTTTGAAGTCCCAATTTCGGTTCACCATCCCTTTAAAGGGATGCTGAACCGAAATTCGGATTTCCCCAAACACGCGGCAAAAGCGTGCAACGGGATGCTACAAACACCAATACATCACTCATACAGCGATATCTCGAACGGATGACCGTATTTTTCAAAAAAGGAAGCGCATTTGGCAGGAATGTTGACGTCAAGTTTCTCTGAGAAGGAGAGGGAACAGCCTCGCGTCTTCTCCGCCTCGCGGCCTTCAGGGAGCGAAGCAAAGAGAGGAGAAAACACGGTATCTTGACGTCACACGCCTCGTCGGCGTGGTTCAATCTCGACCTCTTTTTCCAAAAATACGGCCGTCCATTCGAGATATCGCCTTGCGAGTAGTGTTGTAGGGATTGTAGCGTCCCGCCTACATCTCCTGCATTGTTTTTTTTTATCCAAATTTCGGTTCACCATCCCTTTAAGATGAACAGACGCTCGTGGAAATGGCTTGGTCTGTATTTGTCATTGCGTTCTGTCACCCGAGGGGATCGGTAAAAGATACGATACGCGCCAAGCAGCTGAAGGCACTCACAGACAATCACGGCCGGAAGGAGCGACTGGAAGATGCATATGCAGCAGATAGCGAAGTACATGTTGGCGTTGTTCAGGACCGTGGTCGCTTTTCTGCCAATGTCGTAGTACAACATGACGATCATGATGGCGAAGGCAACATACGCTAGAAAGCGCAGCGGAGTGGCCACCTGAAAATTGGAAGCAGGGCAAAATAAAGAACGTCGTCTAACTCACCTCGGCATAAAAGAACATCAATTTAGTTCTATGATGGAGCGCGAGTTTGCCTGCTCCCTGGCAGTCCTGCACAGGGGTTGCGGTAGCGTCAGAACGCCGAGCTTTGATTGGCTTTTATGAGTAGAGCTGGGTTTTTGTTTAGATGTAGTGCACCAGTGAAATGTGTGGAGAAACTATTTGATATTCTATTCGGAAATATTCGGCCAGAATTACCATTTGCTTCGAACTCAAAATCCACTATTCACATGTGGCTAGAAATTTATTTTAAGAAATCATGAGCCCTTTTACTTCACGTGAAGATGGAGGACCAGCGAAGCTGTTATCTTTACGGCCTCTAAGACGATGCCTAGAGGACGACGTGTAGGACCACCTCAAGGACGACTTCTAGGACGACGCTTAGAGAAATTCAGCCCTTCCACTCTGGTGAAAACCAGAGTGAAAAGGCTGGAAAGGTAGCCGCCGTCGCTCATAGATGGCGGTAGTTGTCTGGAGTTTTGTGTCAACATTTGTTTGTCCACGGACACGATACTGGAGAAACTAGCACTTAACAGCTCTGCTGTGAACAAAATGTTGATCACTGATGGACGTAATTTAGACATATACCATTTCTGTCAATACTACTGCCCGTAATAATCTCCTATAAATAAGTATAAAAACGTGTTCCAGTAAAGAACCGTGATTCACAGCCTTACACGCAACAGAAGAAGCTGTTGCGTATAAGCTGTCTAAACTCTAAACACACTCGATCATTAATTTTGCAACTGCGCTCATACATTTCGAATTCCGTCTATCCTCGCGGAAAGAAAGCCGTGGCGGATGATGACATGAAAATACGTCTTGTAAAAGCATATTTTACTCTTGTGGTTATGAATATACCAGAAAACAAATGGTGCAGATCGCAACACAAAACAAACAAGCTTTCGCCACTGACTTACTTTCTTTCGTTTTTATTTTATACCTAGAATAGACAGGATTTTTTTAAAAAGTCTAGGGCGTTGGGAGCTGCTCGTATGAGGCACAAACCTGAGCGGTAAAGATTCGTCATCACCAGTGACGTATCAGAGCAAAATGTGAAAAAGCGCCGATTTCGCGCTCGCGCTGTTTTACGCAGGTGTACACGTGAACTTTTATTAGGGTCGTCTACAACCCCTTCATTCAATCAATGAAACATTTAATGGAGAAAACCCAAATGCGAAGAACCCAAAGTTCTAAACAAATGTTTTTTTTTCTCATGTTTCTAAATAGTTCAGGTATACGTCGATTGAGACAGTACACCACAAGTGAAAAAACAAATGCAGCGACCTTTCTTTCTAAAGTCTTATAATGCGTGGAAAGCAGTATACAATAAGCGATCGTTTATATTTTCTTAGAAGACATTAAGCCGTTGTTTCGGGATTAAAGACGAACTTATTGTTAATCAATTCCCCACCTAAATTTATAGCAGAGAAATAAGGTTAATGTATAGCTCACACGATATCAATTTGTTCACTACATTTAACGTGGAAACTTGATTGGTGCATAGCCCACGTGATGTCTCTTTTCCTCCTATATTCGGGGGAAAACGGAATCGGTGTTGACGTCACGTGACGGTAAATTATAAGCTAACGGTAGTTAGGAAAGGCACGGACAGGCGAACGAGCAAATTCCTGGGGTTAGGGGGTTCTGTTTAAAAAAAAAAATAATAAAAACAAAAAAATGGTTTATTATGTGTAGGCTAATCATTTACTAGGCGAATAACCGAATAAGATTTTGGTATGGTTCAAGAAATGCGTAGATAACAATAATCAGTACCTTGTTCCTGGCCATCGAGAGCCAGCATCGTTTCAGAAGCACCTTGAATTGATGACTCTGATTAACCTTGAACGAATAATTTCGGTTCACTTCCGTCTTCACCTGTAAAAAGAAAAACACAGACGTTCATGGTTTCTTTTAAGCTAATGACGAAACAGTTTTTGTATGTACACTGGCAAGGCTAATTGCTTAAATAAAACAAAACGTCCAATAGGCTGGAAACATCTGGCCTAGCCGAGAACACCAATATTAATATGTTATCTCTATCAAGGGTACTTTCATCATCATACGAGGTCTCCAAAAAGGAAATCATCAAAAATATGCAAATAAATGACCTTGATCGAATGGAACAAAAGTCAGCCGCTGAAAGAAAGAATTCTTGGCGGAACCGGGATTTGAACTTCGGTTCTGCCATTACAGGGACGATTATGCTAGCAATACACCACTCCATGTAGTGTGTTGGCTAGCATATATCCGACCGGGTATTGGGAGTCCCGCAGTTCAAATACCGGCACCAACGAAGATTTTGTCTTTCGGCGGTTTCGTAACCTTTGTTAAATTTGATCAAGTACGGCTTAGTCACCTGCATATTTTCAATTGAATCTATGCACATAGAGTCACGTCTCATTCATATGGACCACGTTAATATACCGCGCTATAAAGAAAATGTTACTGGGGATGAACTGGCCAAATACGTAGATGTATTTTCGGATTGTTATTATGAACCACTCACATCGTGAACGATATTTTGGAAAAGTGAAGGTGTCAACAATTACGAAACATCACTGTATGGGTACACCACATAACGTGTAAAAAAAGCCGTACCCTCTTAGAAGCAGGGACTGAAACCGTAACCGTAACCGAAACCGTAAACCGTTTAGGAACAAAATGTTTTCAGTAATCGTAACCGGAATGAAACTGTTAGTTTAAATTTATTAAAACCGTAACCGTAAATTATTTACCGGTAACCGATATTGACCCATTTTAACCGAAAAATAAAAATATTTGTTTTTCTCAAGGATGACCTTGAGGAGGAATCTTGAAATGTCGGGGCCATTTGACAGAGCAACCATCAGCGAGTGGTGCATCTGGTAATACATTTCCTTTAAATCTAAATTTATGATTAAGAATACTTAGTTAGAATCAGTGTTCCATCTTATAATGAAAAGTTTATATTTCTAAATCTTCCACACTACTACGATCGCTACATGTATTCAAAACGTGTCGCCTTCGGGGTAGGAACTAATAAGTTAGAAGTCTAAGATGTCCACCCAACTTTTTTTTTTAAAAAGATTACCGTTGTTTCTGACCTGCAACAAAGGATGGCGCAAACCGGTTGAGATTCGAGTTCGACCTGGCTCGATGGTTTCGAACTTCTATTGAAAAGTTCGAGAAAATTCGATAAGGGTTCGACTGTTATGCACATACGCGACAGGCTGGCTCAGTTGGCTTTGGATTGGATGGTTATGACCAAATGATCAAGTCAAACATTCCACCTTTAGTAAGGGCAGCACTGTTTGGTTGTTTTGGTAATATAGCAAGAATAAATTATGTTATTAACTATTAAGTTTTTAGATTTGCATTCCGTTGATCGTAGCTGCTTATAAAATGAAACAACATATTCCGTAAAAAACGTTTTCTCCAAACCTCAGTATGCTTGTATCAAAGACTAGCCACACCGTCCACAAGGTCGAACATTGTTGAACCTAGTTAAAAGGTCGAAGGTTTGTCGAACCAGTTGAACATTGAGTTTCGGCGTAAAATCCGGCTCGACGGAAGTTCAGCCGCCTCGGTGGCTCCGAGGCGAGAGCGCTGGCCTACGGATCCCCATGTGGCGGGTTCGAATCCCGGCCGAGGTGCCCGCAATCTGACGGAGGCTTATTGCGGAGGAGGCGCCGTGCAACCGAGCTTTCGGTTACACGGCGCCTCCGGGTTTTGGAAGCTCCGCCTCCAAAACCCGGAGAAAAATGGCGCTTGTATATAAATGCACAATCTTTCTAGCGTCACAGAACCGGACAGCGGGATACGTGCGTTTCTATAACCACATGCATTTGCTCGGAAATAGCAAACCTGACGTAGGTGTAACAGCGACAACAACGGAGACTAGAGAAAGGAACGAACAACACGGGACACGTTTTTACAGCTCTCTGTCCTGTTTTGTGCTGTTGCATTTACCTTATGTTTAACGTTCACCAACTAGCCCAGCTCTCAATTGTATAACTTTACACCACTTAGCACTATTTTATTTCATTGATGGATTGCAACAAACTATAGCGACGACAAGGTGCGTATGGGTCTTCCAGCGCCCAGTGGGAACTTCCCGAGGGTTGTTTACGAAGGCTGCCACACAACAAACTAGCGATGTTTATTTTTATTTTTATTGTATAGAATACGATGATCCCCGAGTAGCAGGGGGGGGGGGGGGGGTGAGGGGGGGGGGGGAGGGGGAGTGATATTGCGGAACGCGTGCGTGGCCGAATGGTTACCGCGCATGGCAATCGCGCATGGCATGCGCAGAGGCTCCAGGTTCGATTCCATGGAGCGGTCTCCTCTTTTATTTGCTTTTTCAACTTGACGTTCTCGGTAGTTCGGGAACCTTGTCATCTGATCGAGTTACGAATGTTCTACACGCCAAATGTTCTACCCCGAATGTTCCGGAAACCTACGCTGGTACAAAAGATGCTCCGCGCAGCGGCACGAAGTTCAAAACCGCAAAAAACTGAAACGAAACCGGTATTAAGGGGAAACGGTAATCGTAAACGAAACGTTATATTTTTCGGTTTGAGTCCCTGCTTAGAAGACTCGGAGTGTCTCCTGCACCACGATGCGTTCGGAACAACACAAAACCTGGGGCCTCTGTCCCTTGAGCAGACGGTCCAGTCCATGCTTAAAAAACAAAGCGAAATTGTTGAAGATATAAAGTCGGTAAAACGCAGGAGTCCTCACTAAGCAAAAAACTGGCGAGATAAACAAGAAACTTTCTATGTACGACGAACAGTTTAAAATTATGCGCGAGAAAATTACAAAAGTTATCCAGCTTGAAAGAAACATTTCCACCCAACAGAAAACCTTAACGACCTAGCAAATAAAACTGCATGGAGAACCTGGAAAAACGCGAACGATGTAATAACCTGATTCTTTTTGTTGTTTTCTTGGGAACTCCGTGGAATTGCTGGAAGGCGCAGTTGTAGGCGAATTATTTGAAAATTGTCTCGGGGTAGAAGTTAACTCGGTGCATCATATTCACGCGCTTGGCAAGAAGGTGGAGGGGGAGACTAGGCCCATAATCATGAACTTTGCGTGCAATAAAGAACGACCACAAGTACTAAAGAATTGCTCAAAGTTGAAAAGCTCGCAGTTATTTTTGAGCGAAGATTTTTGCTGGAACGCTCTGGAAAAGAGAAAGAAGCTATGGAAGTCATCAAACGTGCATCGAGATAATGGCGATGAAGTGAAGCTATCTCACGACAAACTTACCATTAACCGTGAAACTTTCGTTTGGGAGAAGCGGGCGAATTGTCGTGTTAAGATAACTGAGAAGAAAGAATTCACGACAACCCAGCATGATTAAAATCGTCAGCTTGTCGCCTGGTACTGTTTAACGCCCGAATTGTTGGGAACAAAATTTGCTGACATTAAGCGTGTCTTATACGAATATGATTCCGACATAACGGCGATAACGGAAACAAGATTACGTCCGGGTATTTTTGATAGTGAACTAGTTCCCTCCAGGTTATCAGATTATACAAAATGATCGCTCATTTCGAGGTGGAGGGATGGAGAATATCGCAAAAAAATTATATTATTTGCTCAGTCTTGGAAGGAATTGAGAACCAAGAAAGCGTGCGGTGCAAAGTTACCATCGTAAAAGTGTGTTTTTTTTCGCGGTGTTGTCTACAGTGCCCCAAATGCGCCTGGTATTTCCTTAGAGGAGTTGCATGAGTACTTATCAGTGGTCGTTAAAAGCAGAACAGAAGTTGTGGTGGTTGGCGATTTTAATGATTTTGAAATAGATTGGAATACGTTAAAACCGTAGTCGTCTTGTACTCAGAATCAGTCAATTCTGCTTGAACTTCTTTGTAACCTCAATCTTTTACAGATTTTTACACAACCAGCCCATGTTACATCGACAACGTCTTTTGTACTGGATTTAGCTTTTATAAGCGCTTCTTTGTCTTACGAGGTCATCGTACATAAAGGTATATCAGACCATGTTATTTTATCGCTGGTTTTCGGTTTCTCCGAGTCTAAAGAAAAATGAATCACATAACCTAATACGGGATTTCTCTCGAGCGAACGATGTTCGTATACTTGATCATCTTGAAACATGCTTTGATTTATTCAGTAATTCATCCGGAAATACAGAATCTTATAGGTTATGCTAGCGGACACAGTTGTGAGTTGTATTTAGAGCTTTTGTCCCCGAAAGAAAGATAACAATTAAGCGGCCACACGCTTGGGTATCGAGAGAAGTAATTCACTTGCAGAGGCGCATTAAAAGAATTTGACGAAGGAAAGTCCCCAACTTGCAGTGTTTTCAAGATATGTATTCTACTTTCGAAAACCAAATAGCAGACGGCCGATCAGCGTTCTTTGCACGTACAATAGAGGAGAATTCCTTTATGAGGAATTCTCCACAAAAATTTGGCTTTACTTGTCTCCCTCAGGTGCAATGGTTAATAAAATAAAAAAAGAAAACACATGGTCACAGACAACCCAGAGATTGTATTATCGAGTTCAACCAATACTTCCAGTCCGTAGTTACAAGGCGTGCAAACGCAGCAACCTGTGTATTACCCTCAATTTATGATGAAACGGGTACGTCCGAAATATCAGTGTCTGTACAAGGAATTTTTCTAGGTTACTTAAACTAAAAAAAAAAATCATTTAGCCCTGATGAAATTCCTGCTGCATTTATGAACAAGCATGCCCATTAGATTTCAATGTTCTCATGTGTCATTTTTAAGTCCTCCTAGCAGGAAAAGATGCTTTTGAGTGACTGGCTTTGTTATAAGGCACCAGTTAGAAGGCCGGTGATAAGATCTGCATTTGAAACTACCAACCGATATCCTTAACATGCATATCTTCCAAGCTCTTTGAGCCCATAGTGAACAAGCACATCACCGGTTACCTCGAAAGCAATAATTTTTTTTTTCAGCGGCTCCCAGTATGGTTTCCGACGCAGTCGCTCTACAATCACCCAGCTTATTTTGACCGTGCATGATTTGGTTAGCGTTAAACATGATAAAGGGTAAGCCAATGCGGTTTTATAAATTTTTCAAAGGCCTTTGATACCGTAACCCTTGACGCATTATTTGTGAAGTTAGAGCAGCCAGAGTTCACTACAATTTAACACTCTGAATATTGTCTTATTTAAGCAACAGAAAGCATTATGTTGAAATTGGTGGTACTCGTTCAACCCCATTTAAATATTGCTTGTTTTTGTTTTGTTTTTCTCTAGTTTTCCAAGGATCAGTTTTAGGACCATTGTTATTTCTTGTCTATATAAATGATATTCATAAAGACATTGATCAAAGGACTAAAATCAGGCTTTTCTCCGATGATTGCGTTTTTACTTTAAAGTGAAAAATGTTGAGGATAAAGCTATGCTCAATAACGCTCTTCCTGTAGTGTCTGGTTGGTGTGAAAAGTGGCCAATAAACCTTAAATCTTCAAAAAACTGCCTGTATTGCCTTCACTAAGAACAAAAGTCACCTAATTTATGGCTATGTTTTTAATAACTCTCCAGTTTCCAGTGTCGACCACGTAAAGTACTTGGGTGTAACGCTCACACCTAGTCTTAGCTGAAGTATGCTCAGAGACCAACATATGCTCATCTGCCTTTCGAACACTTCATTTTATAAGGAGGAAACTCAAGGTGGCACCAGAATTAACAAGGCTGACAGCATACAAAACTCCGATTAGACCAGTGTTAGAGTACGCCACTGCGGTATAGGTTCTGTGTACCAAAATAAACTCTTCTAAAATTGAACGTATTCAAAACCAGAGTTTACATTTTACATACGCCAGATACAAAAGGACCGATCCTATATCTCAAATGTTGTCATTGTCGAATATTGAGTCGTTGTGTTCCCGACGGAGGCTATCTAGGCTAAAGGTTTTGTTTGTGTTATGAACAAGTAGACAGGTATCGACCCTTCCACGTACTTGCCCCCTTCGTTCAAACACCCCACAAGAACAAACAAACCGCGCCACCTCCGAGCCTTTTGATCGTCGTCCAATGTGTTTAAATATTGAATTTTTTTTCTAGAACAGTAGACGACTGGAGCGTTCTACTAAGTGAGGTAGTTGAATGAGCTACAGTTGAACAATTCGCCAATCCCTGTTTTTACATTTATAAATGTGTTGCGCTCACACAAATCCTTACAAGTAATTGTTTTACAGCATGTACTTTTTGGGTTTTTTTTGTTAGTGCTTCAATAATTGTTATGAGTCATCCTGTGATGCTGTATTTTATCGCACTTTTGATTTTCCACAGTGGCGCCAGTTATTTGTTGATCGCTCCTGCCACTGAGCTACTTTATATTGTGGTTTATCACCTCGTGATATGAGCTTTAATGGCTGTACATGGTCCACAGTTCATCCTATGTTGTCCCACCCTGCTTGGGCCTGCAAATGACCTGCACTATATTCTAAAATTAAAAAAAAGTTGGCCTTCTTTTGATCAGTTCAACTAATGAAACGCGAGAGCTTCATGCCCCAAAAATCGTGCTCTCTCAGTTTAAAAAAATGCGTCCACCTCTTCTCTTTTTCCAGTAAGACCACATGATCATTTGAGCGGACCGATCGCTCATCTCACAAAATGCTCATTCCAGTCGCACTGTTCATACGTCATGCAAAAGACACGGTGATCGCTGCACGCATGATAACATGATTATCTAATGAAACGCATCAAGCGTCTTCGAAGCACGTACTGGATACAGGCTTCCAACATATCTGCAGGCATACAAGAAAGAAATTCGTCCAAGACAGTGTCAGGAGGCTGTCTTTTGTATGATGCATTAGGAGTTCAATAAAAGGTAGAATAAAATAAAATTGTCAAAATATAGGAGCTTTTCCTACCTCGGCGCTCATGATACGTCCACCGTACTTTGTCCTAAACTTCTCAACTTCGTTGCTCGAGCCGACGGGTAGGGGTAGCGTGAATTCACTGGACAGCTTGTCCACGTAGTTTCCGTAGTCGCCGGCTGCCACTTCAGCAACTGAAAGCAACCAGCGTAGCAATGTCGTTCGTTACGGAGACATTCGTGAGTTGTACCAGCTCTAGCATCGGGCGTTGGAGAAACAAAAATATTTAAAAAAATATGGCTAAATAAAAAACGTATTTGAGTTCACTTTTCTGTACAACAGGAGACAACGAATCATGGCGATCAATAGCGGTATCCTAGCGAATAACCGGTAATCTCACAATACTATTAGACCCCAAAAAATAAAGCGATGTACGAAGTGACAATGAGCATGACGTTTCAGTTGCTCACTCTCTCTCCCTTCGCACACCGCATTTTTTGCTCCTCGTCGTATTCTGAAGTTCGTCATTCGCGAGAACCTTTCTATTGGTTGTTTTTTGGTCTCCGTTTGAGTCCTGCAGAAAGTAAAAAAAAAAATGTTTTATTTTTGTATTACGAGATTAAGGTGTTGATTAGATGCTTCACAACTAATGAAAAGTGATTTGGTACACCGATCGTGAGTTTTCTTTTCTTTATTTAGCTTGGCCCTTGAGAAGGGCGCCATAGTGCCTCAATTTCCATGCGAAATCAATGTTAAAACCGTGTACATTTCTACTGTCACTCGAACTTCATTGCCATTGGGCATGTTCTGGGCCCGACCTCCTTTCTCGTAAACGAAAGTAATTAAAAATAGACGAGCGAGTGTTCCCGAGTGCCTCGGGAAAGGAAAGGCGCGCGAAGACTCTAAAGCCGTCTTCACATTGCGAATACATCAATAAAGAGACAGCCTGTAGACACTGTCTGTGGCGTGCGTGCCTTTTTCTTGTAGGACGGTCCCGAAATTTGTGATACAAAAACTGGCTTTAGACATGTCGGAGGAATACCGAATTGCGTAAAGGAAACATGCTCTGAACATGGTTGAGGCCAATCCGCACATACTTCTGTTATCATGTCTGGCAGCGAACACTATGTCTTTTGTATAATGTATGAGCAGTGTGAACCCGGCTTTAGAGTGCGTCTTGAGATACTCACTGTAGTCGGCGGGATTGTGGTAGTGCGGACAGTTGAGGTTGTGTTTTGACAAGAAGCCTAGAAGACCGTCCACCTGGCCGTTATAAATGCAGCGACCTTGTGAGACCATGTAAAGCTGTAAAGAAAACACGACGCTTCGTTTAAACTTTTCAAGGAAAAAATGAAAGACGTTTACAATCCCCTGTAACGCGGAATTAGAGCGCAGCACTTGAGGAGGAGGCGTGAAGGGTACTGGGGAGATAAGGTGGGAAGTCCCCCACTACTAACATGGATGTGGATCGAAGTGTGCTTAACGCAAGTCGCAGAAAAATGCACATCTTTGGTGAGAGCACCGCGTATAAATTTGGCGGGAATTTATCGGGACAATTTTTTCCCCCAACTTTAGCCCAGAATTTTTTCCACTAGATTTAGCGGGGAAGTTTTTTTCCGCTAAATTAAGTGGGGAAATTTTTTTCCGCTAAATTTAACGGGGAATTCTTTCCGCTAGATTTAGCGAACAATTTTTTCCGCTGCACTCCGCGACAACTTTTCTTGGCAATGCAGTGGAAGGTACGTCCCGCGCCCCCTCCCCCATTTTGAGTGTACGCAGGCTCTCCTCCTCCCCCATTTCCGGGGAGAGGAGGAGAGCCTGCGCACACTCAAAATGGGAGAGGGGACGCGGGCCTGTACCTTCCACTGCATTGCCAAGAAAAGTTGTCGCGGAGTATAGTGACGTTACTGATGACGTAATCAGTGACGATGACGATGACGTCATCACGATGACGTCACGTGACGTAACACGTGACGTCACAATGACCACAAGTTATGTCACGTGACGTCATCGTCATCAGTGACGTCACGCGTTCCATAATGAGCGCGCGGTTACGCCGACGGCCACCGCGACGGCGACGCCGCTCAAGCAGGAAACGGGCGCTAAAGGCTGAACTCCATGGAGCGAATTATGCGACGAATAACTAACGAACGCCGCTCGACGGCACGCTCGCTTTGCGCGCGACATAGCAGCCACTGTGCTGATTACACGCGCAGAGTCAAAGCCGCCGGGCAAAATTCGTCGATTTTTCGCAGCATGGAGTCCCATGGAGTTCACAGCATGGAGTGAGTCCCATGGAGTTCAGCCTTAAGGGCTGCGTTCTAAACGGAAAATTGTAATCGAGCTGTGTGTAGGTTCAACAGTGGGAGGTTAGTCACCCCCAATAAGCGTCTCGCATGTCTCCGCTGCAGGGGAGGAATCTAGCCAGTACGGCGCAGATGCTAGCCTGAAGCCTTTAACGTGCATCACGCAGTAATGATACACGACCGCACGCCGGTACTACGCTCATCCAGATCGAAATGAGCACAGGTGGGAATCGAACATGGCATGCCCGGGTCCTGCATCGCGAGTTTTTGTTCCACGGGCTCCGAACAACGTTGCGTTAACCGCGAAGCTACAGCGTTCACGCTGAGTAACGCCCGCATTCGCGGTGCTTGTTGGTGAATGATGTGCTCGTCTAACACATTTGGCTGGGGCTTACCATGTCGAAGTGAGAGAATATTTTCGCACTCGGAGTGTGTATGGAGCAGATGACGGTGTGGCCCTGTTCGGCGAGGCGTTTCAGGATTTCGACGCACATCAGACTAGAAACGTTGTCTAACCCGCTGTAAAGATAAAGAAACAAAGTTGTTAGAATGTAGCGGATAACAGTAAAAGGTTTATTTGTTATAATTTAATTAATTCATTTATCTTATGGTTCTTTTATCTAAATATTTTATTTTTATAAAGCTACCAAGCCTGGGGACTTTAGCGTACATCACACAGTAGTGATACACGACCGCGCGCCGGAACGATTTTCATCCAGATCGAAACGGGCAAGGGTGGGCATTGAACCATACATCCGCGGTCATATTTCTAATACATCATGCATAAGGAAGTCTGCAGATAGTTTTGAAGCATACATCTGCATAAAGTAACCATGCTTGAAACATTCCACAGGCGTGTCCGTCGATATTTATGTTATCATGTCTGCTGCAAACATCGTCCTTTTTTTTTTTCTTTTTTTGTAAGATGTAAGAGCAGGGGCCCTATGTTGCGCTTTTTGGACTCCCACGGCGACTAAGGAAAAGGAAGTGACGTCAACAACGCAGCAAACGCAGATTCGATGTTTGTTCTGAGGAAATTTTTCATCAACGACTCTCACCCACAACATCCAATCTGCGTTTGCTGCGTTGTTGACGTCACTTCCTTCTCCCTAGTCGCCGTGGCAGTCCAAAAAGCGCAACATAGGGCCCCAATGCATGATGTATAAGCAAAAAAACAGCAGAGTTCGAGCACATCAGCCTTGCCAGAACCAACGATCGCACTCCAGAAGCGCTCAAGCACATTGATCACGCTCAGAGCGTGGGGCTCGTGCTTGTCTATTTATCTTCGCCAATGAAGTCGAAGCTACAGGCGGTTGTGCACTCGCGAACCTTGAGCGCCGATGTAAGCACATGTGCACGCTCACTCGTCGAAAGATATCGCATACTCTTACGTCTAATTTGCGTCACATCTTAAAAATGCCTCATCTACAATTCCAAACGAGTTCTTTTTATATCGACATAATTTTATTGCGTGATGCGGAACGGCATACAAACTCACTACTTTGCACACTGTTAACGGTCGCCCTATTACTTTAACTGCACACTGCTACCAAAAACAAATATTTTGTTTTTAGGTTATCGTTACAGAACCACAGGTACAAAAGCAAGTAATGATATCCCAGATACCGGTAGGACCAATTAAACTACCCGCTTCCGTCTCGGGTTACATTCCGTCGGCATTCTAGCAATATGTTTAGCGAAATTGTTTATTGCCGGCGGCCTCCACGTTTGTTGACGACGGACAGGCACGCAATTGAGAATGGCCTTGGTGTGTTTACGTTCGACGCCTCTCGCATCATCGAGCTCAAGGTATAGGCTGCATGGGAAACTTTCTGGAAAACTTTCGTGACTAGCGGCGGTAAAGTTAATTTCTCGGCCTCTTGTTCATCTATGCACCTACATTTAAGTGGTTATATCTTTATTGGTTTCGAGACTAAACTCTCAAAAGCACGCATGCTGCTCTTCGATGCGTACTTCACACCCGATCCCCTGACCCAAAAGGAAGGGCTACTCGTGCTCTAATGGTTACGCACTGTCAGTCGGCAAACGGGTGGAAGCCCGTTTGCCGTTGAGAATAGCGATCGCCTTTCTCATTGGTCGAAAGATACACCAATAACTTATGTTCCGAGTGTACTGCGGTTCAATACACATGCAGTAGCTTCTGCTACAATGTATGAGCAAATAAGCGTTTGCAACTGCGGTAATACGTATAAAAAATCTGGCATTAAGCCGAGGTCACACTGTTCTTACATCATGCAAAAGACAGTTTGCAAACATCAGTCACCGCAGTATCCGTGGTTCGAATGCCGCGTGCAGAGTTTTCTCCTCGAACTCATTGCCGTACGGCATTCGAAGCACGGTTCTCGCGGTTACTCGCGTTCGAATCTGTTTGCAGACTGCCTTTTGTACGATGTATAAGCGGTCTGACCCCGGCTTTAGGGCAGATGAATGTCGGCAAACATTCATCAACATTTTTCAGCATTTGTGTTTTTTTTTTTTCTTTTAGCGAAGGATAATTGTTTGTTTCTGTGATGGCAAGGCCTTTCATTTCGTTTTAAACCGCAATTTCCCGCTGCCATTATAAAAAGATTAGTATAAAAGTAACAATGTGGCTTCTTGATTTCTTTGGGTAATTCATGAGACTGCAATGATCGTACTTTGGCAAGCTAGGCTAGGCTGGGAATGAGAAATTTAAATAAAATGTTCTCAAGTTCGTCTGCTTCTTTTGCTGTGGTTGTGGAGACGTCAGAACGCCGAACTCTCATTGGTTCTGATTAAAGAATAGTGGGTAGACCTCAAAGTAGCCTGCTTCGAGGTCTATCCACTATCCTTCAATCAGGGCCAATCAAAGCTCGACGTCGTTCTGACGTCACCGCAACTCCTGCGCATGAAGCAGACGAACTTACGCTCCGCATAGGTAAAGACGAGCCTAGACGCAAGCTTTGTCTAGTCACAACATACCGACAACTCGAGACTTCTTTTTTTCCTTTGGAAAACACAGTTAATCTCGGGCCGTTACTTGTGAATAGCGTTATGATATTACTATACTCCGCGACAACTTTTCTTGGCGATGCAGTGGAAGGTACAGGCCCGCGTCCCCTCTCCCATTTTGAGTGTACGCAGGCTCTCCTCCTGCCCCATTTCCGGGGAGAGGAGGAGAGCCCGCGCACACTCAAAATGGGAGAGGGGACGCGGGCCTGTACCTTCTACTGCATTGCCAAGAAAAGTTGTCGCGGAGTATATATTACTAAGATTTTTTTTTTTAAATATATTACTCAGCTATCTGCAGAGCATTTACAAGATTCTCGGCAGTCGCTAGGCGCTACGTTCCTTGAGCTCTCAGTGATTATAGGAGACCGCCCTGGTAGGAAAAGCACCGCCAACGAAAACCGAAACTCGTAGGTATGCAAGCCGCTTCGCTCGCGCACTTGTAACGACACGGCAAAATATCCACGGCAAGCAATAAAAACGCGAGAGGCAAAAGTGGAAGCGAACCGCGAACGCTAAAAACGTTTTCTTACCTCGTCTGTTATATCGTCGGCCGTTAAGTTACGACCCTGTTTTGCATACCCTGGCAGGCGACGGGCGAGTCTACGCTCACGTGCCAACGCAAGCAAAAAAAAAAAAAAAAATTGTTCGTTTTTTTATTTTTTATTTAGGAATTTTCCATCCTCTCCTTGCCCTGTCTTCTCCTGTCTTTCTTTCTCTTCTTTTTTTCCTTTTTTTTTTCTGTAGGCACGTTTTTGACAGCCTATTCCGCCAGTCAACGCAGACACCTCATGTGTGCATTACGTTAACAAGTACGCAAATATGATTTTTTTTTTTTTTTTTTTTTTTTTTGTGCCAGGTAGGTTTCTTTTGCAAGTGTTTCGTGCACACTTTCAACAGTTGGAGAACGTTCAAATATTACCACATTAAATTTTCAATGACGGTCTACTAGGCGGCGTTTAGAACTATTCAACACAAATGTAATAATTTTAAAAACAAAATTAGAATCTTTTTTTTTTTTTAGTTACGGGAATAAAAGGAGAGTAACAAAAATTGCCCTTTTTCGTCTTTTCGTTATGTCCCTGCAACTTTCCAACACGCTCCAGATCGCTGAGTTTCTACATAGACAGTTGATGAAGCGCAGGGGGTGGCGAGTTACGAGCATTTATTATGGTTCCGCAGGCAATAAATGATATTGCGGCACCAGTCGATAACAACGCCAAGGAACGAATCACGAAGCATAAAGTACGGTCATTATTGGCCACGCCCTTCCAATCTTACACTGTCAATGAATACGGCCGCCATCCTTGTGCAGTAAGCATATTCGACGTGTGCTTTTCTCGCAAAGTAGCCTCTAAGCTCGACAGTACACTCGGCCTTCACCACACATACGAGCATATAAGTTAACAAAAATACCTCCCTAAGGGTGGCCATGAGGAAGTATGCGTCTTTTTCTAATGTGAGCCCTTCAGGAAGTTCTTCTTAAGCTCCTTACATCGGCTTTGACTACCTCCGTGATTCGTTTGGACGTATGTAGCGGTTGTTTTTCAATATTTTTAGCTTGTATTTTTTCGGCGGGATGTCAAAAAGAACATATCCTCTGCTGTAAAGACGAAGTGGCGCGTTTTGAGAACAACAACAAAAAAAAAAAGGGGGGGGGGGGGAGGTGACGCAATAGCTTAAGAAATATCTCCGGCTTTTCTCTGAGGAGGTGCGACTAAACAAGTGATTGATTAGTAGTTGGCAGACACCAACATTCACAAAGAAAAATAAAGCGTTGCGACAATCAACAAGCCTGCTTTTTACACACAACGACTCCGTCGACGGAAATCATACTCGTGAAAGCAGACATCGTTACATTGTGAATTGAGAGAAAAAACACACCCTCAGGACGTTTCTCATCGACGAGTCAGCGTATACTGCATCACGATGTACTCCGAAGGCCAATAGATTTAGCTAACGTCGATGCATGCTGGGAAACTAGAGCCAAGCTCGGCTTATGTTATATTCTACAAAGACGTTTCTACCATTTCCAATTCGAAAGATGATAGTCAACGCGCTTGCTTACGGTTTATTGCGCTATGGAATTACTGTTTATGCCAACTGTTCTATGCTCTGGCACAACAAGATAGATACGATTTTAAAAAGTATTCTGAAGGGCGTGGCGTACACCTCTTTGTCGACGCCAAGTGATGAGTTGTTTGAGTCTTTATGTCTACCTCGTTTTTCAGCCCTCTTTAAGAGAAGTGTAATTAGCAAACATTACTGGTTAAGTTCCTTTAAGATACCCCGTGTTCTAGAACGCAATCTGAGAGAAGGTGAACGTTTCGTCATTCCGCGCGTCTATACGAAGTGTGGAAAACGTCATCGCTCATTTTATGTTCCTGATCTGTTTAATAGCTTATCAGATTTGTTTTCAGATATTGATTCAAAGCGACAGTTAAAAAAGCTTTCAGGACAATATGCTAAAGCGATATTTCCTGTGTCATGAGTTTAAATCTTCTCGTCCCATTTTTCAGCTTCCTTCGTTCGTCTGTTCTGTACAGTCTTGGGTAGTAACGCGTTACTAGTAACGCGTTACTGTAATTTCGTTACTTTTTGGTAACTTGTAACTGTAACGAGTTACTTTTTTAAAATGTAACATGTAACTGTAGTTCTATTACTTTTTTCTGAGGTAACGATGAAAGTAACGACGTTACTTTTGTCGTTACTTTACAGTGATTTATGAATAATATATCACTGAACGAGGGTAAAATTTAGATATTTCTTGCAGTTTTCAAATCGTCTATTCCGACATTTCGAGTGTCAAGTTGGCCTCGCACAAACTTGTGAATACGTTCTTTCTCACAAGTCACAACCCGAATATAGTAACGTGTAGAATTCATGAAAAAATATCAAGTTATCTTTACGCACGCGCTTGTACTTTGTGACTGAACACTTGCATCTTAGTGCCTTGAAGCACTATCTATGTTGTGGATTTTCTCTTTGTTTTTTTGTGAAAACGCTTTTTAATCGGGTGAATCAACCGTGAAACAACAATACACGCGGAGGGCACTGCGCATGTTTCATATTTTGATTAGCGCCAGCACTCCGCACTGCGCATGTTTCGTATTTTGATTTGCGCCACTACTCTAACGTGGAAATTTTCAAGCACTAATTTTGAGAAGCAACTTCTGCTAAGTTACAATATGAAGTAAAAAGCATACTTTTTTTTTGTTTTATGCAATAAAACTTGGTGTTCTAATTTTTCCTAATTTTTTATGTTCTACAAAAGTAACTGAAAAGTAACGTCGTTATTTTTTAAAAGTAACTGTAACTGTAACGAGTTACTCCTTTGTTGCGGTAACTGTAACAGTAACTTCGTTACTTTTTCTGAAACTAACTGTAACTGTAACGATTTACTTTTTAAAAGTAACTTACCCAAGACTGGTTCTGTATATAATGAACCAACAAATTCAGAACTTAGTTTTACTTTGTTTTATCTTGCTAAAGTTAGTCAGTTCCTTGGTGCTTTCAATGGCTTTTCATCAGTTGTTTATAGAACCTGCAAATTCGGCATCGGGTTTCTTTTGTGGTGTCTTTTGTGGTTCTCTCTCATTGGTGGTTATGTGACAATATCCTGCATGTGTTTTTAATCAATTCTGTTTCATTTTCTCCAATAACTGGAATGTTTTGAACTGTATCATTTTGGGTATTAGACTGTGCTTTAAAATATTTCTGTTATTTTACGCCGCTGCCGGGTCCAGTCCCACAAGCCGCTATTGGCTTTTGACGAACCCGCATTCACATGTATTGAATTGAAAGCTGCAATAAATTGATTGATTGATTGATTGGTATGGTCGCCATTTTGGTCCATTAAATAATCAGCTTCTCCTTGACTTCTCCACTGTTGGTGAGCCGATCTAGATTCGTTGGTGACGGGTAGCTTTATATAGACGTCTCTTGAATACTGAGATTGTGTTATTCACACACTGGCCAAACAAGCGCACTTCTTTGTACGGCCACCACGTGCGCGGTGGCGGTGCAAAGTCAACACAAGAACAACAAAACCGACTTGACAAATTAGAGCTTGCTGGTAAAGTTACGGGGATAAAGGAAAGAAACATGAACAACGGAAAAGACAAGGACAGGACAAAACATTTTCTATCCTGTTCTCGTCCTTTGCGCTGTTCATGTAGCTTTTATCCCGGTAACAATGACGAGTATACAAAAGACTAACGATACCATAGTAAGAGATCTAGGGAGATAAGCATGATTGATAAGTGGATTGCATTCACAGCGCCAAAGACGCTTATATTGGCGGGAAACGCTTGCAGTATAATGATGCATCAGAGCGATCTTGGTGCGACTGGTTCAGAACGACCCTCTGAAAGGTTCGAAGATTTAAATAGACCGAAATGGCGATGGCCATGGACATTGAGATCACTCAGCCAATCATCTTACGATGTTTTGTCGTGTCTGTGTAAGTATCTGTTTGTGCCTGGCAAGCAGGCAGGGAAGGCAATGGCGCCCCTCTCCCAACATCCAGTGATTTTAGGTATTAGCGGCGAGATGCTTTGGTGGCGCCCTCCTGTGGTTTCCTCTCGTGACGTCATTACCTTACGAACAACAAGTTTGACGGTGTTTATAATAATCACGGTGGAAGCTTGAGATCATTCCGCTCTGAAACCAACACGGCCAACACCGTCAAAATTGATGTTCTTACATTACTCTTATTTCTGTCGATGGGAACACCTTTGCTGACGTCATAGTCAGCATTCCGCCAATCGTGGAAGGCCGACCACAGTGACGCTTTTGATCGCGCACTTCGCCAATAGACCCTTTTCCTTGCAAACGCCACTGGGCGGTGCTTCAGTCTTGGACGACTAACCGAACTTTCGGTTCATAGAAAGAATGAATGGTGAGCCCCTTAACATCGCTGCCTAAAACAAAATAAAATATCTCACCACTCATTCTTCAAGTGAGCGCCAAAAGAACCAAGAACCGCGACATCTGCTCAATACTTTCGAATATTCATGTAAACCAACTTGTCTTTTCAAACACGGTACTTAGTACAGCAGATGGCTCTTGCTAAATCTCCAACTTTTTTTTCCGTGTGGTATTTATGCTTTATAGGACTGGTGACATAAGCTAGCTCAGCAGGGTTGCAAATACTGAGCGACCAAAAGTCGTTTTTTGACGCAAGCAGCGGCTCATGTTAGTAAACAGTGAAAGGGTCGATAGCCAAAAAGACTCGAGCCAGTTTCAGTGGCAAAAGTTAGCAACCTCCTTTTTCTCGAAAATACCGCTTGACCGTCAGGGCACAACACCCCAGCCTTTTCTCGTTGAGTCAGTCAATTGACAAAACTCAGATGAGTGATGTTTCGAGCGCATCGAGGCAGAGTATACACGTTTGCAAGTCCGGCTTCAGGGTGGCGCCATTTTGCCCGGCTGGGGTGCGCTCAGACGAGTAATAATCCGATTACGAAGCATTGCTAAGGCGTCGTAATCGGGTTATGGCCGCGCACAAGCGCGCCCCAGCCGGGCAAGATGGCGGCGCCCTGAAGCCGGACTTGCAAACGTGTATACGCGCACAATGGTTTTGCGAGAGAAAAGTAGTTTGCGCACCTGGTGGGTTCGTCAAGAAACAGCACCGGAGGGTTGTTGACCAGTTCCTGGGCAATGGCCAGGCGCTTCCTCTGTCCCCCGGACAAGTTTTCTGTTCTGGTGTTCCGACATTCGAAGAGCCCCCACTCATCGATGGACTGGTGCACCTGGCGAAGCAGACGGAAGGAGCTGTCTTGAGTCGTCCACCGGAACTCACTCGGTGCCAGCTTGCCCGCGTTCTTATTTGTAGGACATGTTAAATTGCCTCCAGCGTAGCCGCACCACCAAGACGCAGTCACGCCGCTCATACGTCATAGAAAAGATACGGTGTACGCTCTGGACATGGCGACAAAATTATCTGCGGAGAAGCATCAAGCGTGTTCACACTGTAGACCGCAACCGTTTGTAACCGCAGACCAGTTTAAAGCATGAAATGCTTTTTAACGCTACCCCAAATCCCAAAGTGTTGTCTCTCCGTCCGTCCGCGAATTTTCCGCTAAATTTAACGAGGAAAGTTACGTCACGTGACGTCATGTAATTTACACACATTGGGAAAATTGACGGCACGTGACATATACGTCAACTCACACACTAAGAAATTCCTGCGCGTCTAGTTGCCCGCAAAACACTCCAAGAGATAATCTCTGCGATCTACGAAATCAGTTCAGCTAATGATGATGCGGAACAACTGTTTAGATCTCAAAATTAAGTCTGCGCTGTGTAATTACGCAATGCAAGCATGACGGTTTGCATTGCGTAATGCCACAGCGCAGACTTCACTTTTAGGTCTAAACGGATGTTCCGCTGATTTCGTAGATCGCAGAGATTGGCTTTTTGAGGGCTTGCAGGTAAATAGACGCGCAGGCATTTCTTAGAGTGCAGTTTACGCGCTAAAAGTAGAGTAAAAATTCATGTCTTGAGGCCAAAACATTCATTCAGTTTCCCCGCTATATCAAGCGGGAAACTGACGTCTCGTGACCTGTGCATCAATTCAGCTACCCGCTAAATTTAGCGGGAAACTTCACGTCCTGTGACCTAGACAGCAATCTAGTTTCCCCGCTAAATATAGCGGGGAAAATCGACGTCACGTGACTTATACGACCATTCAGTTTCCCCGCTAGATTTAGCGGGAAATATACGTCACGTGACACACCGATCCCCTTACCCCGTCCCTCTCCTTCCTCCCCTCTAGTCTTCTCTCTTCATCCCTCCGCACCTTTTAGATAACCCCAGGTGATTTTGCTCCAGCATTTTCTGCATTTAAAGCACTTTGAAAATAAAAGGTCGCTGCCAATATTTTTCCGCGACTAACCACTCTGACAGGACTCTCATGCAAGAAAGGAACACGTCTCAGACAGTGTCTTGAGACTGTCTTTTATGTGACGAATTACAAATGTGACCGCGGTTTTAGGAACTCTTACGTGTGTGCTGCCACGCGATGCTTCAAGAACAAGACATAGGTATTTTTTTAACCAGATTAGCTAATAAGAAAGGCAAGCGGCATATCGCGATCCAGTGGTCTTTATTAAGTAAATGCAAGGATGCAGGTGAGCTGGTCAATAACGGACATTTTTAACCCTGCAGAGTGAAGAAACAAAATAACAAGACAATACGAACATCTAAACACCGCTGAGGTTTATACACAACCTTATATAGACAACCAATACAAAGAATCCGAAAATACCAAAATAAGACACTGCTGACAATGTTGACGTCACGCCTACCCAAACCAGATACGTGTATCCTAATTTAGCTAGGCGGGACTTAAACACTGTCGTCAGGGTCTTCTTTTGGTCTGGTCGGGTTCCTTGTCTTGGTTGCCGATATAACGTTGTGTTTTGTAAAATGAACTACAGCTGTTTTTGGGTATTCCCGTTATCCTGTCCTGCTTCCCCACTCTTTAGGGACAAAAAGAAACATTAATGGTCATACCCTTTCTTGGCTATAAGAGGTGGATGCTTCTGTACTGCTGAAACTGCATGACCATGGGGGCGCAATACCGCTGACACATTTCATTGACTAAACTGATGAAAGAAGCGCCCGGTGTTGGGTGCTCCAAGTGCATGACTCAATCGCAGAAGTTTTGGGATTGCAAGCGCTTGCAGCCTCCTTATACAAACGAACTCCTTATACAAACGAAAGTCTACAGACACAAGTCACCGCAATATCCGTGGTTCGAATGTCGCGTGCCAAGTTTCTCCTTGAACCCATTGCCATGCGGGCATTCGAAGTACGGATCTCGCGGTGACTCGCGTTCAAATCCGTATGCAGACTGTCTTTTTTATGATGTAAAAGCAGTGTGACCCCGGTTTAAAACAACGGACGGACTGCTAAAATACATCATACAAAAGACAGTCTGCACACACTGGGTGAGACGCGTTTCTTTGTAAACCTTTTTAGGCGCAGGCTTCTGGCCGGTGACGAATTCAGCGTTCGCGTAAGGCGCGTCCTTTGCGAATTGAAAAAATCAGCCACTGATTTTTTCAATTCCAAAAGCCTGCCTAATAAAACCACCCTGCTTCGACGGCGCTAAAACACAAAATGGCCATCTCAGCGTAATATAACCTCTAAAATTTAAGCAACGACGCCAGTAACGTTTTTTTTATTTTTTTTTATGGGAAGTTGAGGGAGGCTAATAGCACCAATCGGAGACGTGTCTTCGGCAACGTAGCCTCAAAGTGGGCGCGGTACATGTCTATACTCTATTTCACCTTATGATGTATCGCAGGAAAGGCTACAAGCGCGAGCTCTTTGCTCTGGGGCACATCTCGGCGGCACAAGCTCTCGCGCATTAAGGGCAGCTGCTGACGCTATCAGCTCGCGCTTCTAGCCTTCGCTGCTGTACAACATAAGGAGAAGCGGGGTATAGCTGGAGCTGACCTTTTCTTTTTTTTCCTGGTCCTTCATCATGGGCATGCGCAACTCCACGCTCATGGTTATGGCCTCGTGCACTGTTAGGGCCGGTAGCAACCTGTCCTCCTGCATGACGTAACAGCTCTGCTTGTTGAACAGCTGCTGGTCGCGGACGTAGCCGTTGATCTGAACCTCGCCCTCGTAGTTCTTGTCGCTGGAACACGAGGAGGGGCAAACAAGTGAGAGATAAATTGTTTGATAAGTAATGAGGTCGATCGGTGCTTCCTCCAACCGGATGGCTAGTGATGCAATAATCAATAAGAGGTTGGAAGCTAATATTAAATAAAATGGAAAGATAAAAGACCTGTTGATTAAAAGGCCAAAGCTCGAACCAATCATGCTGGGGCTAGATTTCCACTATGCATAGAATAAGGAAAAAACAAATTGAAGGAAAAATTTGACAAAAAGGGGAAGCTGGCATGCAGTGGGCTATAATCACTTTTTCCGCTTAACACTTTATGCTAAAAGGGCCTTCTGAATAGAAGGCGTCATCAAGTGCAGATTACGCACGAGAGGTACCACCAGAGTCACGATCACTGCTTCCAAGTTCAAGCTACTCATTTCGATTTTCCATGCTTCCCGTACTCCCTCTAGAAGGCCACGAGAAGACACTCACTAAAATCCCGTGAGGAGGTTGAGCAGCGTCGTCTTGCCGGCCCCCGAGGGACCCATGATGGCCGTCAAGGTTCCGGGACGCGCCAGGCCGCTCAGGTTACTCACCAGGGCCTTCTTCTCTGTGAGAAGATCGTCGACCGTGAGCCTCGCGTCTCTTCTGCTCTATTATAGACCAACACGCTGTTTACAAACAATTTAGCGTTTGTCCACACTACATGTTCGCAGAAACCAGATTCCCAACAAGTTAGGCATCAGCACACGCGCCACGCCGATAGCAGCGCCACCACAGCGGCGTGACGTCAGAGCTGCACGTTTATATATAGACGCTATGTAGCGACTGTGCAAGGGCGCCGCCATGACCGACCTCCAGTTTTTGTATTATTTTAATCCGTTTACTTCGCTTCATTATCACCATAGCAGGCCTGGTCATTTCCAGTGTAGATTTCATTCTGTCCTCCCCGGCATTGGCCTTTGGTGAGACTCGTCTACGCTTGACTCAGTGGCTCAGCACCTCAGTAAGACTAGAAAAAGTCAACAATGGCGACTGTAATACTGCGCTTGTACGAAGCGTCTATATATAGAGCGGCTACAATAGATCCTAGAGCTGTAAAACGAACCAGAACAGTTGGCGCCTGCACGTAGAATGGTGTAACTTTACACCTAACGTGCATTTAGGTGGTGGATTTTGCCTTGCGAAATTTCCAGGCGGAGCTCTCTTCTTCTAAAAAGTGATACCAACAAATTTTCCAGGGTCAACGGAGAATGTGTTCGCAGAAGACCAAGTCATCGATATGTTTTAACTTGAGGCGCCACTTCCCAAAAGGCGCAACGAGCAGACAACACATGCTCGATCCGTCTATCGGGAGATGGCGCCAAAAATTACAACCATCGCTAACTCGGTCGTCTGCGAATACGTCCGCCTTCGACTCTAACAAGTTTGTTGGTCTCGGTTTTCACAAGGGAGATATGGTTTTGTCTTACAGCGCTAGGATTCCATTGTGAGCTCCCTATATTTCTCCAACTTTCCCGAAAGAGTTCGACTTCCCCCCCACAAACTTCACCTATACCATTCAGTTATCAAAGTCTTCCTTTCATTTAGGGTAGAATAAAAAAATGGTAGCGCCTATTTCTCCGTAAAGTGCTTGTGCGATCCAATCGCTTAGGGGGGTATCTCGGTGAATGACGAGGCTGAATGAATACGCCTCGACCACATGTATGCAGACAGTTTGTGTACAACTAGTGTGACCGTCATACGAGGAAGACCTCACTGTCTGCGGATTGTTGTATTTAGCGTGACTTGTTGTTAGTTGGTTCGTGGTAAACTTGTGTACGCAAACACAGCTAGAGGACGAACCTGAAGGAGTGGACAAGCGCTTGCCCACTCCTTCGTGTTTGTCCTCCGTGTTTTCGTACACATGTTTACTCGGTCTGTTTTGTATGATGTATGAAAAGCGTAAGCGCGGCTTTACAGAAGCACGAGCGCGTTATGGCCTACCTTTGCCGCTCTTGACTTTGAACGTAAGGTTCTTCCATTCGAGTCTGATGCTCTCGTAGTTCCGACTTCCGTTCACCTTCTCCATGGAGCTGCCATTGGACGCGTGTCCGTTCGCTGACACTGGAGAAAACAGGAGCAAAATTCAGACATCAAAGATCAACAAGGGAAATTGCCCGAAGTGCGCACATCTGCCTGAGTCAGTTTCACTGCACTTTGGCAGCAGACAGATCTCAAGCTGTCTAAACATTTAACATCTGATTTGCTTTTGCCAGCCATCGCGCTGTTAGCGGCGAGATGTTTCGGTGGCGCCCTCATTTGGTTACCTTTCCTGACGTTATTACCTTGTGAGCAACAAGTTCAATTGTTTTTTTAATGAACAGATAGAAGCCTGAAATCATAGCGCTCTCAAAGCAACACTGCCAACGCCGTCAAAATTAAAGTTCTTACATTCCTCTTATTTCCGTCGATGAGACATCCTTTGCTGACGTCAAAGTCAGCCCACAGCAACACTTTCTATCGCTCACGTCGCCATATCCGATCAGTACTTATGCGTTTAGGAACTTGCAGAGTGCGCGTGAACATAGCCTTAGCTAGCTTGCAATTGCACCGGCTTTCCCGCACGAGACGAGACATGGCGGCGGTCACTCTCCTTGGCTGCAATCGTCTATAGAGGGTATTCACTGGGCGCCATATTTGAGCGGCACTCTTGATGATGTCATATGCAAGGTGCAAAAGAACTGTGAAAGCTCGCTATCAGCACACGCTCAGTAATCGCGCACACAGCTAAGGCCGCCAGTGAATACTTCGTATATGCCGCTTGCATGGGATGATGATAAACACTAAACCCGGCTCGAAATCTTCGTCGGAATTCATGTCGGTGACATTCGTCTGCTTTCGTCCTACGGCCGTTTTTTTCTCTGGGAAAAAGCGGTGTTTTCCAGATCGCTTCAAGTTTTTGCGCCGTCATCGACTGCACAGCCATGGTAGTCGGGAACGTAGAGGAGCATCGGCTGGTACCCAGTTTTTATGCATACCGTTCTTTATTTGGACTTTAAAACGAGCCTGTGCTCAAGCAGTCGGCTCGTCAGTGACCAAAATGGCTGCGACAGACGCCGCCGAGAGTCTTTGAAGAGCAAAAAGATGATTGCGTATATTTGTTCTTAGGTTCTGGCGTCGAAGAAGCCAGCTTCTTGCTCCTGCGTTTTAATAACACGTGGGACGACGCTAACGAAAAATCACATACGTGCATAGAAATAAAAATAAAAAAACGAGAAGCTCCACCGGCATGAACGCGGACAGTATAGCTACCATAGGTACATCAAATTCTATAGTTTTTTTTGTTTTTTTTTATATGTCGAACACGTTGCTCGGTAGCATGTACAGAAGTGACATCTGATGCAAGGACTCTAAGAAGCACTATACTTTCGCTCCACGTGCTGCCAAGCTGAGTTGCGCAAACCACGCTACACGTTCTTGCACGCACATATAAAGATTAAAACAAGTTAGACGTTAGGTGATTAAATGGCGTGTTTTTCGTCTGCTTTTGCGTTGCAAAACGGGTTCTCTCTTTAAGCGAGATCTTACGCACAACAACCGCTAGCTGGGCGTCGTTTGCCTTGCAAGTAAGCGAATGCCTTTAAAAAAGAAAAAAAACTTTTTTATGCATTTATCAGTTACGACTGATCGTAAAAGTGCTTGCTTCGCCAATATGCAAAGTTACACTCGTATATAATTCTTTATCGGGGATATTTCACAGCGCCAAAGTTCATTAAAGAACGGATGGCAGTGCTCGAAAACGCATGACAAAAGGAGGAGAACTGGACGCCACTGTGCGCTAACTTTCATCTGTTTAATCAGATGAAAAGACGAAAATACATACACCGAGCCATCGCGCCACTCTCAGCATAGACGATGTTTCGAACGTGATTTCCTTATCTGCAGTAAGTTCGCTAAATTCCCAAGCACCACGGAAAATGCTGGGAACGGATACGTACACGCGCTGTGTCCTGGTCGCCTTCGCTGTTTAAAAGATTCGATGTAAATCAACAAACTAAAGCGTTGAGGGACACACGTGCCAAGTGCCATTTGTTTTAGATTTTTGCTTCCTGCAGACGCCAGCGCGGGTAGCCCGTGTACCTACATTCCTGTTATTCGCTTTGATGGTTGGGTAATGAGGAAAAATGTCTATTTCAACAGAAGCTACGCAACACATGCTGCGCCGAATCATGTCGAAAGTCGAACGCAACCACATGCTAAGAAATGTCTGCGCGTCTACTTACCCGCAAAACACTCGAAGAGCCAATCTCTGCGATCTACAAAATCAGCTCAGCGATTGATGAGGCGGAACATCTGTTTAGACCTCAAAATTAAGTTTGCGCTGTGGCATTACGCAATGCAAGTATGACGCTTTGCATTACGTAATGCAAAAGCGCAGACTTCATTTTTAGGTCTGAACGGGTGTTCCGCCTCATCATTCGCTAAGCTGATTTTGTGAATCGCAGATATTGGCTCTTCGAGTGTTTTACGGGTAAGTAGGAGCTCAGGCATTTCTTTGAGTGCATGTACTCTCAAATGCAGCACCGGCTGGCCCACCGATAAGCAACGCTTATTGTTGCGGGAATGTGCATTTGTTATTTTGTAGCAAATGAATTCTGCACAAACGTACACACAGATACACAAGCACCCATAATAAACAGTACGACAGCATGTCGCACAGGAAAACGCGCCATTCACCGCTTTCTCTTTAAAAACAGCCAACAGAAAAACCCGTAATTTTTTTCTTTGTCAACATTTTGTTTGGTTATTATTTCTTTTTACACAAGGATGCTAGCAGAATTTCACGTAGAAGAGCACAAATAGGACATGAGACGCGTTCCCTTCTTTTAGAGGCAACACGTTCGTTTCTGCTGGAACACGTAGAGGGAGCAGATTGAAAGTAAAAAAATAATAAGGCCCAAAAAGCTGGTTAACCCAAGACCATTAATCCACCTTTACAGCGACGCAGTTCGCTGTGCGTTTTCGAAATAAAAATTCCAATGTAAGTACTTCGTGTCTTCTTAGTATCGATCTTCTTCTGCCTGTCTTTGCATATTTTGTTTCAATAGTTTCCCTCGCAATTTTTGAGTGAGCGACTTCCAGTGGCCTTCCTAGAGAACATTTCAACGCAATAAACGTGTAAAGTATACAAAACGAGCGTGTTGGTAACAGTATCCAACACAAGGAAGGTCCCCTTTTTGCTGTTACTTTCCTCATGTTGGCTAAGAAAAGTGTCTTCAGCTTTTCTCCGCCCGACAGGCAACGTCGGTTGCGGCAGAGGAATACGAAATTCATAGAAGAGGTTGCATGTTTGCCTGTTGGAACCGTGCCATCGGCCGCGCAATAAGCTCATGCGCAAGTTCCCAGACAGAAAGTTAACAACTGGTAAATTTTTACCACGGTCTACGATGCATTTACCTTACACAGCGTGTTCTTTCTCCAGGAGTGGGCGACTGAACGATTAACCTTCCGATTAATCAATCAATGCTTTAATCGCCATCTTTTTTTTTTTAACCGGTTAATCGGTTGGATTGTGACGAAACAAAGCAAAACGAGTTAAAAACATTCGTTATTATATTCCATTAAAATGAGCATGTTTGAAGATCTTACGTGATGTAAATTTTTTGCTCAAAGTCACTTAATCACGATGGAGCGCAGCGGACCGTAGGAGCCACCCAGCGAACTCAGCACGCGGTGCACCCCCCGAATTCCTTCTTCTCTCCCGAAGTTCACATGGCACTCGCACGGCATTGGGATGGCTCGAAGCGTCCGCTGTTGGCCATCCAGAGGTGGAACGGAGTATATTTGGGCCTCGATCGGTCCCAGAAGGACGGCTTGCTGTGGACGGGCGAAATCAGCAGCTCGTTTTGTGCGCGCGAGAAAACTCCATGGCGTCCACAGCCTCCACTTCGCGACCTCTTCTCCCAATCGGGCCTATCTTCACGTGACAGCATAAAGTTCGCGCCATCCGTGTTTCCATAGGCCGCGGCCCTCGGGCAGTCGGAAGGCGGTGCTGCAAATATCTGGCAAGTTGGTCGCATCCCGGAACCCGACGTCTGACGCTCCGGTGCGACGAAAACTCTCGCCTCCGACCGTCGTTCCGACAGTTCGCATGTCGGAACGGAGAGTTTTGACGCGCATGGTGTCTCGCGCTTTAGCTCGATAATTGACTAGACATCCACGGGGCCAACTTTAGACATTCCGCCGATTGAGTTTCTCTTGAAACTAGCGCGAGCACAAAAAGAGAGGACGACGCCTAAATGTCGACAGCCGGGGGCCCGGCGTGGCCTTTCCCCGGCTCACACCAAACGCCGTCCATATACCCTTGAAGAAAATCGCTGGGCACCCTCCTAAAAATGCAGAGCCCACAGTAGTCGAAACTGCGCGCAGCAACGGCGGAGGATTTGTCCGAGAGGATAAAAAGCCCAAAATAAGTTACTATTTTTATTTTATTTTTTCGTCCTAATCTACTCGGAAATTCGGGGTAAACAAGTATTCACCCCCTTTGCCCTCATCGGCATTTGGTTGGGTCTAGTTGGGTCGAGGACAAATGAGCAACGCTTAATTTAAACTGATAAGTTCCTTGAGAGGAACTTATAAGTTTACTTGCTTCAGTATTAGACACTTCCGAGACGTGGAGATGTACGCTAATATGAAGGACAAAATTTAGATAAATGTAACCTAAGCTGCAGGTGCGAAGTCATGCCACCCACAGAAAGGCGGGAAGATTATATCTCACACGGCCACTTCAACGCCAAGCGAGCGTCTGTTTAGCGCAGCAGCTACTACTGTGAACAAGCAAATGAGCTCGTTCCTGCCGGCGGATATCATCGAACTTCTCTGCATCCACCAGTGGAAAAATAAGCGGGAACCTCTTTGGACTCTTCTCAAAAACACATCAAAGTTTAACTCTACTTGAAAATATATACAATGCGTCGTTTATCAGTCATACAGTAAAAAAAAATCAGCCAAAGCAAGAAATACAAATGTGTCCTCTTTTGTATGTTATGTATGTAAATGAGCGAAACCAATTAATCGATTGATCGATCGATTAAAGTGTGCCGATTAATCGGGTTAAATTTTTA